TTAAAGATTATAGTTAACCTTATGGCTTTTTAATATCTTAAATATTTAAGTGAAATCCTTAATTATTTAATTGCTTATTAAGGTTAATAAGTAAGTATATAAGCATTGCTAAGGTATTATCTTAATTATATAAATAAGTAATAGTTTATATTAATTAATATTATAAGTAGTATTTATAATAAAAAAGGGAGGATTATTAAGGCTTTTAAATTATATTACCTTTATAAAATAAAATATAATATGCTTAACTTAATGTTTTATATTAATTAATAAGTTAATTAAATAGTTATTTTTAATTAAATTATTAATAAGGTATTTAATTAATAGCTAGCCCTTAATATTTTAGTTATTAAGTAATTTGCATTAATTATTAATATTCTTAAAGGTTATTTATTTATATAAGATTATATAAAGAAAGTAAATAATAAAGGTACTTAATAAATATTATTATAGCTAAATATTATATTATTTTTAATAATAAGGTAAAAAGGTAGTTTTAATAAAGAAATGTTTTTTAAGGGTTTTAAATACTAAATAATTATATAAGGAAAAGGTTTTTATAATATAAAAAAAACCTATATATTTTAATAAATATATATAAAATAAGTAGTTAAGTATATTTACTTAAAATGCTTATATTTTTCTTAATTATAAAGCTAAATAAGTAATTTATTTTATATAAAATTAATGGCTTTTTTAGCTTTTTTTACTTAATTACTATTGCTTTTTTAATTTGCTATTTAAAGTTATTAATAAACTTATTTATAATCTTATTTGCTTTTTTATTATAATACTTTGCTTTATTATTAAATATGCATTTAATAATAATTTAATAGCAAGGTAAGTTTTTTTTAATTTATATAATTATAATTATATATTTATATAGCTTAATTTAAATATTAAGTGCATTTTAAAGATAAGAATTATGCTTTATTTTATAAATATTAATATAAGGATTATAATTATTAAATTATGTTTTAATAAATAAATAGCAAAGTTACTTAAATTTAAATATAATTTTATAAGTTATATTTAAGAAATATTTATAATTACCTTAAAGAATAAAAATAATATATTATAAATATTTTAAATATTTAATTTATTATTTTTAAGTTATTATTTTAATTATTTATAATTATATTAAAGTTAAGTTTAAGGATATTAATAATAAAATAATATTTAAAGGTAAGGGTTATAAAATAATTAATTTAAGGAAATAAAAAAAAATAAGTATTATTTTATAAGTAGGTTAATTAAATATATAAATAAATAAGTAAAAAGTAATTTTATAATAAAGTTATAAGGTAAGTTAAATATTATATAAAGTAAGTAATAATAAAGTAAGTAAGCTAACTTAAAGTTATAAAATTATTTTTTTTACGCTTTATATTAATATAATAAATATAAATTAAATATATTGCATAAAGAATGGCAAGGTAAATATAATAAAGTAGTAAGGTAGTTATAATTTTAAAAAGCTAGCTTTTAAGGTATACCTATAGTTTATTAATATATGCAGCCAATTTCTTTATACTAAGTGGGCTAACGTTAAAAGCTAGGTGGGCGTATTATAGAAGCTGGGTGGGCGTACGCTGACTCTAAATCCTCCGGTTTAAGCTTCATCCCGAATTGACAGGCTTTTGTGTCATCTCGTCGTCGCGCCGATTACCTAGGGGTCCATACCGCATTGGGAGGTGTGATGAGAAGGGGGGGATACTACTGTCGGGCTGCCGCCCCAAGGATCGCCCTCGGACGAATACCACGCACTATATGATCGGATACTGATCACCATCCTGGCAGGCCTAGGATCATGATCGATTCCCGGTTAATCTGATTAGTTCCGAACGATCAGGATCTACGACTTTGCGTCCAATATTATTATTAGCAGAGCCTCAAGCCGCTGTGCCCGTCTATGCATCTTCTCTCGCATGGTGTTGCCCAGTCGGCCCCTGTCCTGGCAACTGCCAACCGCTCATGCTTCCATGGACTCCAGACGGCACACTTGGCAGGGCTGCAGAGAGGGTTGTTCTGATCTTGATCCGTTGTTGCTGGGCGCCAATTTGACGCTCTGTCACATCCCAGGATCTTTATTTGTTACAATTATCCGACGTTTGCCGTCACTCCCGATGTGCAATGTCAAGAGTGTTGACAGGTGCAGGTCGAAAGCTCTAGGCCTACTGGTTTCCCTTCTCGGCCCCACACCTGTTCCTCGTCCAAACATCGCCAGGGCACGTCTGTGCGGTAGTCTGTCCATTTGCATGGGTTGAGTGATCTCACTATTCGAAGATCATGTATCACTAAGTGATCTTTTTACGTACTGAGTAGAAAGGGGCCGCGGGATGACACTATTCGCTTAGGGTTGTAAGTCGGGCTCGCCAAGATTGGGGAAAGATATAGCGAGCTATGTGTGGAGTCCGTCCGAGAAACCGACCGTCTGATGAGTCCTCGACACATGCTCTGCCCATCTAGGTATTCTGCATCTTGCATGTGATGATTGCGAGTGCGAGCTGGGATGACAGCGTGGACGGAAAGCTCATGCAGGACGCACAGATACAACGGTATCCCCCACGACTGGTGCAGAGCAAGACTATACTGCGAGCTGCGGCTTTTCCGACCACATGGTTGGGCCAGGTACTGTGTCACCGGAGTCTTTCACCACGAAATAAGGGGCTTTTCACCCACGGCATGCGTTGCAACGGCGGGAAAACGTATAAGCGCCACAACTAGGATACAACCAGGATAGCGTAACGAGCGGCAAGAGCTTGTTGTGATATTGAGTTGTGCAAAAAAAGCATACACAAAACCTTCACAGGATTTTAGGACCCGCATCGAAAGCACGAGATCATTCGCAAAGCAGGATTGGCCAGCCCGCGGAGAAGCAACCGAATGCGAGGCGATACCGTCGAGCTGCTTCATGATGCCAGGGGAAAAGCACGTTCTCGTTTCAGTGCTTGACATCAACTTGGCCGGTGCCATTTCGTCCTCGAGGAAAACATTGTGCCGAGATATGCCACATGGACCTGCCCTCGATCTGCTGGGGTCTACCCGCTGATCTGATACACGTGGGTTGCCCGTTTGTCGTCGGGATGTGGGCCAACGCCGCCGAACCAACCTCGCAGATCCATCTATGGGAATGTAAACAACATAGAGCACCTCGGTGTGCCCTCTGCCCAGACAAACTTTGCACGAGAATCTCCTCAAGACACAAGGATGCCCCGAATCCGAATTTCAGATGGTTCCTTCACCAATACCAGTTGCCTTCACATCGTTAACTTTCATGCGAGCTACGATTCTGGTCCGACGAAGAACCACTTCGGAATCTTCTTCAGTCTTTCGGTACGAGAAATAGGCCGTCGAATTAAAATTATCTAAAAAAGCACAAGAGGAGGTGCCAACCAATCTCGGCGCTTAGCCTCGATGAAGGCTGCATTGGCCCAGAGAACCTCTTCCGTGCGCCTCTACTGACACAGCCAAGATGAATGCTTACGTGCACCCTGGTCAATCTTGGCCGCCGCTTTCCTGAGACTGACCCCGGCCGGCTGCAAATTTGCGCTGTCCCTTTCCACCGGCCAAGACCATCGAGGCGTCTGTGGGCTGATGGCGAGCTTCCACGGCCTGCTTTTGAAGACTTTTTGTACAGCTTCAGGCGGTGACATTCAGCAGTGGTGAACAGACATCTCGCGAACGAGGGGTAAATTATGAGGGGATCATTCGTCTGAACTGAACACCTGATCTGAACATACTGCCGACTGTTGTCGAAAATAGTTCTCGGTTGATTGCACGTCCCAAGCACGTTCCTTCTTTTTGGTCCATATTTTGTCGAGCATTGGATTCGACGTGAAGGGGCCGCAAAAAGCCATCACTGGCCGGTGCTCGTGAACGGTTCCTCAGTTCTTGTTGAAAAGAAAGAAAGCAGATCTACTCATGCTTCGCACCCAAGAAGCTTCCTGACTTTGACAAGTCTTCCAAGGTTTCACTGTTACGACGATGAAAGTATCAAGTCCACATGATTGACCTGTCTCAGTCGGAGATTCCTCATGCCCAGTACCGGAGATAGTGGTTTGGTCCCGCGCGGAGTTTCTGCCTTGGCCCCGTCAGCCTGACAGCCTTGGTGGCAGCCCTGGCGCTTTGCCCGTATACGAAGGTATAAAAACTGAATTGTACAGTACATTAGATTGAGGGCCGACGTGTACGCGTGCGTCAATCAATCTCTGTTGATAGATCAGAATTGCCTCAATGTCGTTACTAAGAGACCAATTCAATGGTTGATCGTCTAAACACTGCAGGCGGGCGGTAGAAAAATGCGCAACTTAGCCAATTACGTGTCCCCAAAGACAACCAGATCTTCAATGCAAATGGTCCCCGAGCTGTGGCAATGGGGCTGAGCAAGGCTTTCGCTGAACAGTGCAGGCACCAACATTGATTATCCGGAGCAACGGCGCTGACTGAGTTGCCTCCTTCAATCTCGATCCCATCCTTGGGCAGTGATGAAAACTCGACCTGCCGCTGCCCAAAAGGCAAAGTACTACTCTGACAGTGCCCTATTCGTCATCACAGAGGCCCGGTGATGCCGTATGAATTGCATTCGAGCTGAATTCTGCCGTCTCGAAAGGAGCCGAGCTGCTGACGATCCCGCCCCCAGCCTCGGGGCGTAAGCCTCGCAGGGTGTGACGAACCACTCTGGCATTGCGGCACAGCTGAGGCCACCTGCAATTGGAGATTGGAAAAGTTTGTCTTCCACGCGCCTTATGTACACTGGGATATGTAGCCTGGCAAGATAGATGCTATATAAATCGTGCCGGCCTGCACTGGTCCTGTCCTGGGAATATTTCAGTGCCAAGAGGTGTATTCCGGAGTTATTAGACTCTCGACCACTGAAGGCCAGGCGTTCCTGCGCGGTATCCTCATCCAATCCCACCTCTTTTAACAGGGACGAAACATTTCAACTAGAACGATCGAAATACAGGCTTCCTGAATCCTGTTTCATTTCGCAGCCAGTCATGGAAACCGCCGGATGGGTCCCCGAGCCCAAGTGCGGCCGAGGCACGCTCAGCGTCGTCTGGGCCTGCCTGCCGACCATCACGTTCGTGCTCTGGACGGCGATCCACCTGGACGCGAGCCGGTCGATGGGCCGGGGCATGTGGGGCCTCTTCGTCTTCTTCGTCCCCGAGGCGATGCCGGCGATCGCGCTCGACCAGCTCATCAAGGCCAGGCGGCTGCGGAAGCGGCTCCGGGCCCTCGTGGGCTGGGAGTCCTGGACCCTGAAACAGTCGTTCCTCGTCGTGAAGAGGGGCGTCAGGGGCCTGGGCGGCGGGGAGACCCTCACGCCGTGGAGGCTGGTGGAGCTCGCCGAGCAGCAGCAGTACATGGTGGCACACGGAAGCAGCGGGATCCGCATGGGGATGCTCCCCAGCGGGGACGCCATCGACCGCAGGAGCAAGAAGAGCTGGTTCGAGAAGCTTCTCGCGGGCCTCCAGGCGCTGTGGTTCTGCGCCAACATTGTGTCGCGGCTGGCGAGCGGGTACACGGTCACCCCCCTGGAGGACATGACGATTGCTTACACTTGTTGTGGGCTGATCGCCAGCATAGCGTGGTGGCACTGCCCGCAGGATATCGAGGAGCCGTTCGAGGTCGACTTGGACGCGGCGGGTGATGCAATGTTCGCCGCCGTTGAGTGTGGGTACTCCATCAGCCAACATAGCGACACGGACAGCAGCAGAAGCAGCAGCAGCAGCGGATCGAGCTCCCCGGTCACAGGGTCAGACGGGCTCATGATGGGCATTGTTTGCGTCCTGCTGGGCCTACTCGCGGCCATTCACATAGCGGAGTGGGATTATGCATTCCCATCCGCTGCTGAGGCTTGGATCTGGCGATGCTGCTCGATCGCTACCCTGCCCATCGGCCTGCTTATAGTTTTCTACGGAGACAGGTGTCGATCCACGCACTGGTCCATGTCTTGGACGGGCCCCGGGTATGTCGTGGTGCGGCTTGCGCTGTTGACGGTGGCGGCCACATCATTTCGACGGATGCCTGTTTCGGTCTTTGACTCGCCTGACTGGTCTGATTACTGGGCCCATGTTGGGAAGTGAGAGCCGTCTTACATATCCGACTGAGATCTAGAGGAGAGGGTAGGACATGAAGGCTGGAGGCCCGCTTTTCAGCTACTAATTCGGGCAATGGGAGCCAATGGGTGGTCTCAGTAGAGCTATCAATTGTGCGTATGGAGCTAGATCATGTGTTTCACCCACCGGTGGCGCGGTAACGACATGATCGATTTGTCTGTAGTGTCGCTGAAAAGGGACAGGAGCTGACACTGCATTACTGGCCATGTGCTGTTCAATGCGTGTCGTTTATCATCGGCTGGTTGCTCCCACACAGCCATCTTGTGTGATACATGACTGTGGGCCCCATAGGTGTTGCTGTAGGCAGACTGGTGCAACGAATTATGATAATTACGACCCAATTTACTTTAGACAGGAAGTCTTCTATTCATCTAACACCTATCTATCATGGCAAATTCGGCGTTGATGGCAAAGTCTTTTGGCGACATATCAGAATACCACATCAACTCACCACGGTGGCTTGAAAGGCTGGACTCAGGAATTCTCGAGACGTCTTACAGATGACAGTGTAAGTCTCAAACATGATGGTTATCTTCAACTCAAAGCAATCGAGACGGGTATGGATAAACACGAGGATAAGGTTTCTTTGACTGTCCAAGTTCAAGTATGTACGAAAGACACCGTCCCAAATTATCGTATCTACATGGGAAATCCGCAAGCACCAGAGCCGCGATCAAGCACCACCGTCAGCAGCAATTCCGTTCTCCGCCGCCGCCGTGATGAAACCCTTCGCGAGCGCCTGCTGGATTCCCTGCATCCAGATATTAGCCATCTTCTGGTACCCGACATCATTCGGATGCCTCGTGTCGGCCAGGTCGTTGGTGGTCGGCCCCTCGGGGCTCCTCATGTCCACAAACACGAACTTGGCCCCCTGGCCGGTCAGCTGGGCAGCGAGCGCGCTGTACTGGCGGTTCACGTCGACGCGGCAGGCCTCCTGCGCCGGGACCTTGTTCACGAGGACCGAGGCCAGTATGACCGTCGACCCGGGGCTCTGGGCGTAGATGCTGCTGATCAGGGACGAGACGTTGGCGGCCGCGTCGGGGACGGTGCCCCCGGCGTTGCAGTTGTTCGTCCCCGCGTCGAGGAGGACCAGGTTCGGCAGGAACCTGGGCACGGTCGCGTTGGACGAGTTGGCGATCTGGTTGATGACGAAACCGGGCGTCGCCTCCACCTGCCTGTTGGTGAAGTTGCCGTTCTGGAACTCGCCCACGAAGTTGACCGCCTGGCCCGCGGCGACGAGCTGGTCGCGCAGGTCCTTGCGGTAGCTGTCCCCCGTCGACGAACCCGTGCCGAAAGTGACTGACGCGCCGAGGGGCATTATCCTCAGCGGCATGGGCGCGGCCGGGGCCGGTGCTGGGGCTTGCCTTGCGGCCACGGCGGCAGCATCCGCGGACGAGAGCGTTGTCAATGGGGTGACGGTGTCCGCGGTGCCGCCCGGTATCACCGTGATCCCGCGAGGCAGCGCCGAGGCTACCGCCGCCGCTGGATGATTTCACGTGTTAGCAACACCCGCTCTCGGGGCTTGAGCACATGTTCTGGGCCTTACCGACGGAGAGCATGAAGATGTCCCTGAGCATTGTGTTGGCGCTATCCTCGGACTACAGATCACCACCTTTGTTGCACCATCAAAGCGAGTTCGCGAGAACGAAAGGCAAGCACGATGGCTCATGTTGAATGATTTAGTGTTGACGACTCGAAACTCGGCTAACGATCCGCCCGGGGGTTTCAAAATATCGCCCAATCTTTAGCACGCGGCCGAACCCGTTTCACTGGGCGTGCATTGAGCTTAGATCAGACGCAAACCTAATTGGTCTCAGGATTGGGGTCTAGAGAGAACAGTTCTCATTTTTAAGCAAATGCAGTTGTAATATCCTCTACATATTCTATGGGTGCTTGATCTGTCGTTCATGACTTCCACCAGACCGTGATCCTTTTTCAATCACACAAGTGCCGCCTGTATTTCGACCGAAGGCTCAAACCCCTCTAGAGCATTGAAAAGACTTTTCCAACCACATATGAGCCGTAATCGTGCCTAGGTATGCCTTGGTGATGATAGGGTAATGAAAGCTTGCTCAAGTCATCCCGTCGCTCAAGCTGGGGTGAGCTCGGTGGGGTCGTGTGATATACTGGATTGGGGTTTTGCAGCCCAAACCCAGCCAGTCTGAAAAGCTTCATCAGAAACAGTGTTCCGATTTGAGATCGAGCTTGAGCCCATCTTTTCGTCCCATCAACCAAGCTCTGTTGGACGAGATGCTGAGACCGAAAGTCCAGGTGAAACTGCTTCATTTATGCACCTCATACACAAGTCTTCCCGTTTTAGCCTCTCCAGAAATGATTCTTGCGATATTATCGTACAACAGACCTATGATCTCAGTAACGCACTATTCTGTGGTTGGGTGAGGGATGGAAACCACTTTTCGGACCGCATAATGTTCTTCTTCTCCGGGTGATAGGGCCAGCACGGCCATCCTCAGACCGAAGTCAATGGGGACGACGCACTATACACCTCTCCTTGACACAAGACAGGCCCAGTGAACTTGTCAAAACGATTCTCGTACCAATGATTGATCGTGACTATAAGATCCTAGCAGAACCATTTTAGACCCGTCAGAACTTGGGTCACAGTCAACAGAGCCTAGATGCTAAAGCGTACGGAGCGTGCAAAGAATGCAAATTGTTTGTGTTATTCGACAGTGCGTGGAAGAAGAATCCAAGCTACGGCTGCCAGGCGCCGTACCCACATTTTGGCAGCAGGTGGGTGGCGCGTTCGCTCATCTAATCTCATCTAATTTAATCACCCTCCCTCTGCTGAAGCGCCAGATGGCGAAAACCACAAACGTGCTGGGAATCGACAGAGCCCAATACACCCAGAAGTTGGAGCCTATGACCTCATCTGCATCCCAATGAAGACTCGGGACAGCAAATAGTGCGGCGAAAAAAAGTAGCTGGGAGAAAAGCCTGTTCGACGTTTGTGATTCAGTAAGCTGCGAGACGGGCATAGTGAATTGGCCGCGAGCTGTGAGCAAGGGAGGCTATAGTGTGCTTCATTATCGTGTCTTCCGGGCCGGAAAGCAGCATTGGAACGCGAGACCGGCAGAAGTCTGCCCACATAGACGTACCATTGTCATAACAGCAATGACCTTCATAGAAGATGAGTCTTCTTCCGCTGCTTCCGCAAGGGCGATATTTGTGAGGGCATTAGCATGCTGCACCCATGAATCACACTAATAGTCATTTGGTATTTAGCATGTGCATTGCATGAGTCTGAATCGTTGCTCTCGTCTTGCCCTTGAAATTTCATCTCGAGCCAAGCGCTCGAGCCAGTCAAGTTGGGCGGATATTTCCCTGAAATCCCCCAGGAGTATGTCCATCTCAGTGCGTAGTGTGTTTGCGGCTGTAGGTGTTGTTGATCTTGTCTCGAGCCCGCGCGCGAACATCTTGAGCCTTCTCAGTATGAATCGCAGACCCTCTAATTGTCTGAAAAGAGGACCAAGCCTGTTGACGCGGTCAATCTTAGACTTCAAAGCGTTCTCGCGCTCGTGAATAGTTCTTCGATTCCACAACCGCGGGATTCCGCTGTGGCCGGGGACTACAATATCCTCCCAAGGTCTCGGAGAAAAAAGAGTATCCTCGACGTTGTTAACCCTTGCCCCGGTCAGATAAGTACAATTTCGAGGTCCAGAAGTCGTTTCCTGGTAGTATATTCAATGTCACTGAAATATCATCAAGCAAGCGCTGTACACCTTCTGCAGCTTCGGCAGCTATGAGAGATTCGAAAAACAGTGGTTGTTCGAGGTTTTGAAAATCTCGCTCCTCAAATTTTGGCAGTGCTCGGTCGTGTCGGTAGAATAGTAGTGCTCTCGTTGAATGGGACGGCTGGTGGTGTGACCAAACTACCCCCACGGTCTTCAGATCAAGGCAACCGGAGCTATAGCCGCCGATACTGCTTGCGGATACAGCATAAGGCTCTCGAGCCCCCTGCTTTGTGAAGATACGATCGACAAGCGCAGCGTCCATTTTTAAGAACCCTGCTAGGTGCCTGGCGACTTCCTGGAAGCGTGGGCTGGCAGCAGCATGAAGAATTTTTAAAGACGCATTGGCGCTTTCGAGATGGCCAAATTGCATGCGAGAAAACAGAAGATCCTCTTCCACGGGGTTACTGTTACTCACGACCACTGACTGCCCATTCGTATAGACCTTCGAGGCCTCAAAAACCGTAAACATGGTGGCTTGTGAGAACAGGGGTTGTGTGCCGTACGCCGGGTGACTCTCTTGATGATCGTGTCGAACTTCGAGACCTGTAGCTGCAACTGCCTGACCTGTGCTTTCGAACTCGTTGCAGCTCCGTGAGTGGTCCCTTGATTGGGGTCCAGAATGAGAATCGCGATGCAAAGAACGTCCGTGAGCCGTATTGAAGAGCTTTTGGCTTGACAAATGCGAAGGTGCTTTGCTATGGGTGGCGCCTGCACAGGTGCTGGTGATTTCCGACGTGAGCACGAGCTTAGCGAGTGGCCCTCAGATTCTCATCAGAAATTCAGTAGCGGGGTAGTGTCTACATTATATAGTCCGCAGAAGACTGGCTCGCTTTCGACAAATAAAATCATTCGATAGGCAACGCAGGCTGACATCACAACTGTACGACATCAATTGCGAGGGTCAGTGTGCTGTGCCCACTGCAGCCACACGGCGACTTGGGTGCATGATGCAAGACTGAGGCTCAGATGAGATACGAATGCATTCGTTGGATCGTGGTGATGGTGGCGGGGGAAGATGCGGGCGAGAAACTTGAGCCAAGAAGGACATAATGTATGCGGACGGATTTTATGATGGGACCGTCCAGAGATTTGCCCCGTTGCCACCTTTTCGCACTCATTGCAGTACGGTTACACTGCAATAGACCACCCTAAGCATACCGGTGAGAAATTTGATCTCCCTAGTCCCTTAAGTACCTAGGTAGCTAGGTAGCTAATGCTGGTGCTATTACCTCGCTTACGAAGTAATAAGAATCAAAAGAGCAGACGAAAAGGGCTTGGGATTCCCTAGCCTAATGACCCAGGCTAAGGGTAATTCATTGAACTACCATTAACATGAATATAATAACTCTCATGAGTTTATCCTTTTGCAACTGAGCTTGCATTTCGAGCTATGTTCAGATTTATTCTACACTTACGCCTCGAATTTGACCTCAGACAGCACCCCCTCCTTCCTCCTGCTCCATTGGTGGACCTCTGGGGTTTGACCCGGGACACGATTTTTCTCTTCCCAGAGCCTCTTGGTCAGCGTCTTGTACAGGAAGACTCCATCGCCATTATACCTAATATTGTGATCAGAGTCGCTGAAGACCACCGAGTCGAACTTCTCCGGGCTGACTCCCTGGCCCATCAGGTTGTTGGTCAACACAGCAGTGTTCTGAAAGTGCACATTATCGTCGCCGATGCCGTGGGTGATCTGGAAGCCACCAGCGATGTTCTTGAACCCCTCCGTCTTCCGCACCGCAGAGGCGTTATACCCAGCCCCATTCAGCTCCGGCGTCTTCATATAACGCTCCGTATACATGGAGTCGTAGAAGCGCCAGTCCGTGACCGGCGCCGTGACCAGCCCGAGCGAGAAGACCCCGCTGTCGAGCTCGACGACCTTGGAGGTGAGGTACCCGCCGTACGACCAGCCCCAGTGGGCGACGTGGCCCGCGTCGGCGGAGGGCAGCAGCTCGGCGATCTGCCCCGCCGCCCACACCTGGTCCTGCGCCTCGAGGTCGCCCAGGCGGCCCGTCACCTGCGCGCGGAAGGCGCGGCCCTTGTAGCCCGTGCCGCGGTTGTCGACGACCCACTGGATGTACTCGAGCTCCGGGTCCGAGGAGACGTAGGCGTTGTAGTTGAGCGCCTTCCACGCCTTGTTGACGTTCTGCGCGCCGGGCCCTCCGTAGGGGTTGAACAGCACGGGGTACTTCTTGCCGGGGTCGTAGTTGGCCGGCAGGCGCTGCAGGACGTTCAGCTGGGAGCCGTCTGGGTGGTCGAGCTCGAGCCATGTGGTCGCCGGGAGGCGGTACTCGTTGATGCGCGTGATGAAGGCTGCGTTGTCCTCGAGTGTGCGCAGGGGCGTGGTGCTGTTGATGCTGTACAGCTCCTGGTATGGGACGTCTGGGCCCTGGTAGGAGAGCTGGTAGTACGACCCTCCAGTTGAGAAGGAGGCTGACCAGTAGGCGGGAACGCTGTCGTCCACGAGGGCCCGTTTGGCACCGGTGCGGTAGTTGACCACGTACAGGTGCGACTCGGTCGAGTGGCGCTCGGTCGAAGTGTAGTACACCAGACCGCGGGTGCTGTCGACCTTGAGGATCGAGCGGACCTCCCATTCGCCCGAGGTGAGAGGAATCGGGGATCCTCCGCTGACCGGGAAGAGGTAGATGTGCGCCCAGCCAGACTCATCCGAAAGATCCAGGTAGTGGCTGGCATCCGTGGGGTACGTGGCATTGGTACTGCCATTTCCGCCCAAGGCGCCGATGTACTGAATGGCGATGTTGTTGTCGAGCCAGCCCGTGGTCTCGGTGCGCTCCCGGACGACAGAGCTCGTGGCATCCTGGGCGTTCACGTTCACGACCTTCTCGGCGTCTTGCACGCGATTGTAGGCGCGGAAGAGGACATTCGAGCTGTCTTCGGTGACCCATGCGACCTCACCAATGATCAGATCGTCTGCACCGAAGGCGTCGATGGGGATGTTCGTGACAGCCGAATCGTCGACCTTTAGCAAGTTGAACAGAACCGTCGGGTTCTTTGTGCCAACCTTGGGATACCGAATTTGGAGCTCCCGCGGGTAAGATGGTCCATACTCCGTGTTCGCAGCGTAGTAAGGCACCGTAAAGGTGCCAACTCCGGTCTCGTTGAAGCTCAGGTAGGCGATCTTGGTCCCGTCAGGGCTCCACCAGAGAGAATAGCGGTCTCCCAGAATCTCCTCCTCGTACACCCAGTCAGGCACAGCATTAAACGTGTCCGGGCCTCCGTCGTTGGTGATTCTCGTCACCTCGCCATCCGTCCAGATGTACAGGTCGTTGCCACGGACGAAAGCGACCCGATCACCCGTGGGACTCCACTCAGCGTACTGGATTTCGCCGACCTGGTCCTCAACGAGCGGCGTGAGCTCGCCACTTTGGACATCGAGGATGAAGTAGTCGGCGAAGTACGAATGACGATACTGCTTCGTATAGTTGGTAGCCCAGAGGACCCTGCTGGAGTCACTGCTGATCCAATAGTCATAGCTATCGGCCGGCACCTGTTCAGCGGATACGAAGGTTGAATTCTCGCCCGTCACCGCATTGGAAATGACAAGGGCCCCGTCGCTACCAGAGGAGATATAGCTGCCGTCGGTCTCGCCGGCAACCCAGGCTAGGGACACAGATCTGGGAGAGAGGCGAGTACTCGGCACGGTCTCATTGAACAAGAGAAGACGGGTGCCGTTCGTCTTAGGGAAGCCAGTGCCGCGGGGCGGGCTGACTGCCTGGACAGTCAAGGCCGGCAGGACCAGAGAGAGGAGGGTGAAGCCCTTCATGGCGACTGAAACGAGGGACAGACACAGCGAGGGTGAGGTGAGAATCATCCTCGCGACCTACATTCTCATGGGTGACGACGACATCTTTTAAGTTATATCCTCACGTCCCACGGATATGGGTGCCACAGCCGATGTCACCTTCTCCAACCAGTCACGTACCATCTGGGCGGGCGGGTGCAGATAATATCACCATTGACGCATGGACGCTCTTGGCCCACGCGAAGACACCATCGCAGCGGACAAATCATGAGCGCGTGCGGGAGTGGACCGCTGCGCCTGCGAAGGATGCAAAATTGTCAAGATACCTCTTGTCTCGAAGCGGAAGCTCGTCGCTTCTCCGCTCGGCTTGGCGACTTGGCCGCAGGGGCCTGTGGTTGATTGATCTCATTAATCGCGCCCTGTGCCTGCGTGCCGCCCCATAATTCGCCTGCATGGGCGCAATACCGTGCTCGTCCTGGACTGCTCGGCCCTGGCGGCAGGAGAATCAGAAAGGCGTCTCACGCGTCTGTTGATTCTTCCGCGACAAATTTGGATTCGATAACAGTAGGTTCAAATACAATAGCCACTAAGAAAATAGCGACAGTCTCGTGACGAGGCGACACAGGGCTAGCGGCGGCGAAGAAGAGCGATTTTCGACAAGTACGATGGTAGCATCAAAGGGTTTTGGGGCCCGGAGGCACCCCCGCAAGACATTGTCATTATTCCGTGGACAATTTGTAGTTATTGTTTAAGTTCCTATATCAACTTCAACCGGCACGCAAAGGCTTTCATTCCCTAGTGCAAGAGGAGATTCAGTATACTGTATAACTTGTTACTTTGATAATCATACTTTTATGTAACTGGACAAGGGCATAAGAAGTTAAGGCGACTGTCAATGAGCCCTCAAAGCTGGCTGAGTATGATTTAGTAGTTGAATATAACCAGCGCGTGCTGTGACTGGACTTATATTTGGGGTCCTATAATTAGAGTCAAGAACTTTTGACTGAGTCCTTTTATTGAAATGGTTAGTTGTTATTCGCTAGCCTTCTCTTCCCGGCTGTTGGCCGATCTGAGCGTTTTTGAGATATAGTCAGTCATAGAGCATCATCCAACTCGTATCAATGAAACATCCTCAGTCACGGCCACAGGCCAGTCATAAAATCCAGGCTGTCGTCCATGCCCGCTTTAATCAGGACTCTGAGCGCTGAATGACGTCTGTTGACCCATGCCCGCAACATCGCCTCAGCTATAAAGATCCGCGTCCCCGGAAACGACTTCCTGCTGGCCTGGTATCATGCTCCACGATGACAAGCCTGAGCAAGAGAAGCAAATCGACTAATTGCAATAATACAGAATCATACGCTACCGAGACCACCTCGTATCACCAACAACAAAAAGAAACACCCCCCTTTTCATCAAAGAACAACTTGAAGTCCCCGAACCAAACCAAAAATGTCAAATCCTGAGCGTGACCAGCAGTTCATGCAAGAACTTCAACGACTTCACGAGGAAGCCCGGCAGCGAGTGGCCCGCGAGCAAGAGGTCGCTCAGCAGCAGGTCGCTCAGCAGCAGGTCGCTCGGCAGCAGGCCGCTCAGCAGCAGGCCGCTCAGCAGCAAGCCGCTCGCGAGCGCGAGGCCGCCCGGCAGCGAAGCGAGAGCCACGATGGCACAAATGGAGCCTGTTGTTACCGCTAAGAAGGTTTCTACATCCTGAGACGAGGAAATGAGGGCTAGAGAGGGGAGCAAGGGCAACAGAGAGATGGGGGTGGAACAGAACCCCCCCCCCCCTCAAAAGAAAAAGTCTTGTGAAGAAGATAGACCGGTACAGCAAGGAATTAATACCCATATCGTGGGAAGTTGGCATTTCCCTCCTTAATTAGTATTCATCACCTTGTTGGATAATACAGCATACTCAGATAGGGTGGGGGCCGAGCGCATTTTCAGAATAACTTTGGAAGGTAGAGAACAGAGACCTGTTCATACAATAAACTTCATCTTATCTAAGACCCTCCTACATACACATTGGCAGTCAAGACCCTGGCCACACGTCTATGCTCCGCAGTGACCCCTTCAAGAACGAACATGATGTTGAGCCAGCTGAGCGGCACCTTCGTATGAGTACCTTTGGACGGAGTAACACTAATCAGCAATAGTAAGTACCCTAGGTAACAGCACTTGATCGTAGTCACAGGACAGCAAGAGCCATTTGTTAATGACTCTAATCATGAGAGCCGGCTTGGGTTCAAGAATAAATGCCATCCAGGACAGTAAAGTTATATACGACGAAGATTAATTCAGTTTCCTTAGAGTAAGGGCACACCGTAAGCATTTTAAGACCGAGGCAGTGTACGAGCATTTGCAACGTGCAGGTACTTCATCACATGTAGCTGTCTGTCTTACCCGTAACAATACAATTTCCTAAGCACCTGAATATTGATCAAAATTGCAGTTCAGCCGTACATTCCGGATATCGTTCTCGACTAAACCATTTGCGATACTAGTATACCATAAGATGTCGCTATAGCTCTGCTTTTGGGATCTACCTGGGCATCAATCTCATAAAAGGCTCCTCAAGCACTTCTTTAAGCCTCCCGCTTACTCTTGATTTGCAGATTAAAATAAGGTTTCTCTCCCAAACTAATAACCCAAAACCCCTTCCTCTTACTCAAGCCCTCCTCATTGATATAGTCCAGTGTCACGGAGTAGTAAACGCTGCAATTATCTCAGATAATAAGGTTTGCAGCATTCAAGGTCAACTTTTAAAGAGCTAAGGAGGAGGTTACATTTAAAGACAGCCTGAAAAGCCACAATATGGCAAGGGTGTTTGAGATATAAACTCCAGGAAGGGGTTTGTTATTCCCAAGCGGGTTATAATTATCTCTAGAAGCTATTTATACTAATCAACAGATTCAACCGCCATCAGCCTACTCGAAATGGGAAGTTAATTGACTCTGGTTTGTTACGTTGACGTTTCCAGACAGTTGCTCGTTGCATGAGTTGCACTGGGTATGAAATTCATTATGTTGTACTCCCATGTATCAACGTTGCTTACAGTGACAGTGGTATTAGGGTTGGTACTCGAGAGATGAAGTGGACGGCGTAGAAACGGCCGTAAGTTACATGGGTGTCGGAGCCTGTTAAGCATTGCACAACGTTAAACATTACCTTGCAAGATTCCCGTGATACTCGTTTGGTGTTCTCAAACCTTGCCAGACTCAATTGGACACCGGCAGCTCACGGAAATATAGGGTAGCGAGTATGCGATTACAAAAGAAGGTTACTCGATTCCCAAGGAATTTGCCCAGTCTGGTGTTCTACCCAAGAGAAGAGGCTCGATTATCAGGCACTACAATGTAACCGACACCTCATAAGATGTCATATCGATATATGTTGGCTCATTATTGAATCACTGAATCAGGCCGTGGCTTTGTGTACAGGTGTTATTCTTGCCATTGGTCAGTTTGGACGCGTAGTGTCATACGTCTGACAGCGCAGGTACTGCTGGGTGAGTGTCACGGAGGCACGGGAGGCAAACACGCAAGGGTGCGTTCATCGAGTCCATGCGAGCTCGGTGATACTTTTGGATGCAGTCGTTACGCATTACGTGAAACAGCACCAGGTCATGCAAAAAAGGTCCGGTAAGAGACGTGGCGGTTAGTGGCGACGAACACCAAAAGTGCGAAGACCAAACTGGTCTAGAACATCTAGTGTAGGTGTAGCCCAGGTATTAGATAAGTACAGACCGTGTGGACTCGGACACCAAGCCAGGCCCAGACACGAGCAGACCTCGGCAGCCCGGGGTCGGCGCGGACAAGGAATGCCACGTCCGAAGTGGCCATTGTCGTGGCCACACACCTAACCCTCCCAATGCAGGGGCCCCACTGTAGGAGCTGCCAGTTCCAATGGCTGGGCGGGTGCGCTGTAGCACAGATCCGCGTGCCACGAAAATCTTGGAAGTGGGCCCACCGCCGGCCACGGTACCGCTAGTTCTAGGCCCATTGTCGAAACGATGCGGGCCCTCACCAGGCCCTGTACGGCACAGCTAAGATCGGAAAAGCAGTATGGAATCGCCCACTTGGCCTAGCTGCTTGTGGGAACACTGGGGCGCCTGCTGATGGTCAGATTCGCCCGCGGGGGATGCCCCCCATTGTGGAACGGTGAGCCGGGGCAAGGAGAGTCGAGAAAACATGGGAATTGTTCTCAGGTCCTACAAGTCATGTCCCCCCGTCCTGTGGCTGCAGATTCTTTCCGGGATTGACGAAAAACCGACGGTCTTTTTGCTGCGACCCGACTCATATCCCCGGTTTTCCGCCGCGCAGAAGCCACCAGCCGAACTTTTCCACCATCGCGAGTTCACCATCCCCTTAGGAGCGCCGTCCCGTTCCTAGGCAGCAGGCCCGGAGGCCACCACCCGATGCGTCCTGAAGCGGCGCGAGAGCGCGACCTACACAGGCAAGCTCCCACGCCTCTTTGTCCTCTGCTGGTCCCTCCGCGGCTATGGATCATCATCCCGCAGCCGTCACTAACACTCTTCCCCACATAGGTACTACAAGCCATGGAAGGATGCACAGAACTCCCTGGTTGACGTCAAGGAGGATGATCGAGGCGACAATGCGTGGGGCCTCACCTACGAGGGCTACAGGCCCAAGGCCTCGGGCGACAAGGCTCTTACCGCCTTTGCACAGCTGGCTGCTCTGCGCCTTGGTGTCCGGCGCTCTATGATCTCTCTGATTGACAGCACCCAGCAGTACATCCTTACAGAGGCCACGCGAACACTATCGCTGCTATCTGACCATCGGCACATGCCCGGCGATGAGGTGTGGCTAGGAAACACCATCATCAGGAGGGGCGATGCAGTATGTCACCACAGCTTCAAGTCAAAGTACACGGCCACGGACGACGATGGCCGTACATACACGGCTGAGGCGCTCGTCGTGCCTGACATGCGCCTGGACGACCGCTTCAAGGACCGGGAGTACGTTGTTCGGAAGCCTGGAGTGCTCTTCTACGCCGGAGTCCCGATCAAGACGAAAGCTGGTCACAGGATTGGGGTTTATGCCGTGTCGCATGAGGAGCCGCGGTCCGGGCTGAGCGTTGATGAGCTGATCTTCATGGAGGACGTCGCCGCCACGATTATGGAGCATCTGGAGCTCGCAAAAGACCGCGATGCACTCATGAACGGGTCGAGGATGGTGAGGGGACTCGCTGACTTCATCGAGGGTATCCCGATCGGCGGGGACGAACCAGAAGTTGTCAACACTTCGACGTCGACCATGCCCATTAACACCTCGCTGGAAGACCAGAAGGCCTCGCCTGTCATTTCTGCGGTCATGCGCAAGCAGACACAGAACGCCAAGAAGATGCTGGACGACCTGGACGAACTTACTGTCTCCGGTGCCAAAGACGAGAAGGACAAGCCCGCGGAGCCGTCATCACCGAAAGAATCTGCCAAGGCATCGAGCAAGAGTAGCGGCGATGACGACCCCAAAAGGATCCTGCAGCGAGCTACTCACATCATACGGAAGTCCACGGGCGCTGATGGCGTGATTTTCTTCAACACCTCATCCAGGACCTTTCAAGGCCTAGGACGACTACCTACGGACCATGCCGATGCCTCCTCCGGCATCACATCAGGCAGCGACCGGCAGAGCGACTCGACGCTTCCTCGACGACCACGAAACCGCCGGATGGATTCAGGGGAGTCAGTGGACGACCTACGCGGGAAACGGCGGTACCCGACGTGCGAGGTTATGGGGCTGTCGGTCTCTCAGCATGAGCAGTATGGAAGGCTGGAAGCCAAGGACTTCCAGTTCCCAGAGGACAACGTGGAGCGGTACCTCAAGAATTTTCCACACGGGAAGTTCTTCAGCTTCACAGACACCGGCAGCGGGATCAGCTCAGGCGACGAGCTATCCGCGGAGGACAAGCCTCAACCGGCCACGGTTGACCCCAGCGTGGATTCTGCAGCGACGCGCACTGAGAAGTCGGGGCGCAACAAGAAGGAGCGGTTCATCCCCAGCGAGTTGCTCAAGGTACTCCCAGGTATCAGATCACTCATCTTTTTGCCGCTGTGGGACTTCACGGAGGGGAAATACCTGGCGGGCGGCTTTATATGGACGTCCACAGCTGGCCGCCTGATGAATCCCGACAACGAGCTCCCGTACCTCAAGGCTTTTGGCAACAGCATAATGAGTGAGATATCTAGAGCAAAGGCGCAGAAGAGCGACCTGGCCAAAACGACCTTCATCGCTTCGATCAGCCATGAGCTTAGGTGAGAAAGGGCACTGTTGCGGATGGGTTTCGAGCCAGACTGATGACAGCTAGATCTCCGTTACATGGTATTCTTGGGTCCGTGGAATTCCTGCACGAAACTGCAGTGTCAGCATACCAAGCAGGACTATTCACCTCGATCGAGACATGCGGAAGGACGCTCTTGGACACGATAGATCACGTCCTCGACTACGCAAAGATCAACAAGCTCCGCAAGGGCAACTCCACGAGAAAACGAGGCCACTACTCCAAGTCGGGTCACAGGCGGGAAACGGTGGGGAGCATCGTCGGTCTGACGGCAGACTTCGACCTGGCCGCGTTGGTGGAGGAGGTGGTGGATGCCGTGACGGCGGGACACGCCTTCAGGAGGACGCACCACGGCACAATACACGACCACCAGGCATCCGGGGGAGGGCTGGCGATTGCATCAAATGCCGATGGTTCACTTGGAGTCCAGAGCCCTGCGCTTCCCGAGATCGACCCGGTTGTTATCCTCGACATCAAGCCACGGCCCAGCTGGTTCGTGCGCACGCAGCCTGGCGCGCTCCGCCGGATCGTGATGAACCTGCTGGGGAACGCGCTGAAGTACACGGATGCGGGCTTCGTTGGAGTATCACTTCAGATTGAGTCCGAGACTGAGACCAGTGCCAGGGCACGGCTGCGCTTCGTCGACTCCGGAAAGGGGATGTCTGTCGAATTCCAGAGGACACGGCTCTTCTCCCCTTTCTCCCAGGAGGACCCCTTTGCGTCGGGGACGGGGCTGGGTCTCAGCATCGTCCGCCAGATCGTGGATGCCCTCGACGGGACCATCTCCGTGAGCAGCACGCAAAACCTCGGGACCGAGGTCGACGTGGTGTTGACGCTGCCGACGGTCGAGAAAGTACCGGATCATGACCCCTTCGACACAGACTTTGCGAGAGACGCACGGATGTGCATCATCGACCCCTGCGACCTCGCGTCGGAAGCTGGCATCGAGCTGCGCGACTTTGACTACAGCGGGCTGGACCACCTGGAAGACACCCTGCGGAGCAACTCTGAGGAGTGGTTCGGCATGCAGATCGAGAAGCGCACGCAGGAGAGCCTGGGCTCGCGCGAGGGTGCCTCCGACGCCCCGGCGTGCGACTACATGCTCTTCCCCCTGCCGCCAACATCAACAGACGCGCTCCTCAAGTGGCACAGCAACCAAGAAGCCTCGACGGGCCCGGCCCACGTCATCGTCCTGTGCAGCAACACGGCACAGGCGTCCGAGTTCCGCGCCAACATCGCAGGCCCGCTGCTCGAAAAAGGCATCCAAGCTGTCCCGGTCACGCAGCCCCTCGGGCCCCGAAAGTTCGCAAGCGTCATGCACAAGTTCGGCAAGGAGCAGAAGCAGGCCCTGGACATAAACCTCGCGGTCGCGGAGCAGAAGCAGCGCATCGTGATCGGGCGGCAGGACTCGGACCCGGAGGCCATCCGGCGCGAGAGGGACATGCTGCTCGAGGCCGCCAAGGCACGGGTCGCCGAGGACGCCAAGACCGCAGCGAGAGCCTCACCCGAGGCTCTGCCTGCAAACGGAACCCAGCTTCCTGGGCGTCCTGGACCGGGAGTGTTGGTGGGCGGCGAAGGCGGCGAGGCCGACGGCGGCAACGAGGCCCCCTCCGAGTCTCCTGCGCGGGCTGAGTCGGCCGCGAGGACACAGAACATGACGCTCTCACGCAGCAGGGCGGCCTCGGCGTCGCGGTCGATCTCGGCGCCGCCGGACAGGATCCCGATGCAACAGAACGGGATGACCAATGGAGCGGACCCGGCGGCGGCACCCGCCGGCCGGCCCCACGTCCTCCTCGTCGACGACAACGACATCAACCTCCAGCTGCTGGTCATGTTCATGAAGAAGCAGAACCTGAGCTACGCGACGGCGAGCAACGGCCTGGTAGCGCTGGGGAAGTACGAGGCCGCCTGCGGGACTGCACCGGCGTCGCCCCCTTCGCCCCCATCGTCGGGCGGCACCACCCCGACGCCCAGGCACCCGAACGGCGCCCTCCTGGCCGCCGGCCGCCAGCCCTTCACGCACATCCTGATGGACCTCTCCATGCCGGTCATGGACGGCCTCACCTCGACGCGGAGGATCCGCGCCCTCGAGGTCGAGAGGGGCGTCAAGCCGGCCGCGACGATCATCGCGCTGACGGGGCTGGCGAGCGCCGAGGCGCAGGACGACGCGCTGCTCGCGGGGATCAACAAGTTCCTTGTCAAGCCGGTCAAGTTTGGGGAGCTGAAGGGGTTGCTGAAGGGGGTTGGCAAGTAGGCCGGCTGGTGCTGCGAGACAGTGGTGGTGGTTGGAGGGTTGGAACGGGGTGGCATTTTCTATGGCATTGGGTATTTGCACTTGGCATCGGAGCATATTTGCGCAAATCTGGTATGGGAGGATGGGGGGATCTTGGCACAGATTGACCCAGCAGAATACGCGTCATGACGGGGGAGACTGGCATTTACCGGGCGTGCATAAGGTTTTATAGGTTGGAGTATTCATTTATACCACAGATTATTCTCTTCCCTTTTTGTGTTGTCAATCTCAATTACATTCAGCCAAACATGAATTGCATAGGTGCAACACTTGACTGCCTCTCCTGGCCGAAAGGCATTAATGTGTATAATGGCATTTTCGCTGCCCGATATGAAGAGAGCCTTATCCTTTCTCCGGGGAGCTGCCGGAATCTTACCCTTGCTCTGTTCCAGGAGCTGCTGTAAGGTGAAACGTTCGTTTTCTTGTGCTTGGAGGATGTTTTGGTCGTCGAAATTGTCCGGAAGAATAATCCAGTTCCCACTTTCTAATGACTCCAACCAGGCTGTGGTCAGCTTCATTCTGAAATATGCCACATCTTCCATCCGTTGATTCATTTCATTGGCGTGATATTCAACGAACTTTCTTCGGAAATCAGGTGGCACTACCTCCGCAATTTTGTTGTATGAGCCTCAGAAAGTTGCGTCGCTGTCAGCATATACCCGGAATACCGGGCAAGCAGCCTTGTGCCTGTAAGCAAACTCATGGCAAAGCGAGACTTCCTATTCACATACACTGCTGTAAACACTCTGGGCACCTTCAAAATGCGGAATCGTGTTGGTCTTACCCGGAGATCCCTCATCCTTACAATGTGAGTCTGTTACAATCCTTGAATTTGGATTTGATAACATTCTCGTACGAATCTCGCACTACAAATGACTGTGTGTCCTGCAGAAAAGTGACACGTACATGTCTTGTCCTCATCGGTTGGTACTATTCCCACGTGTTCCATTCTACTAGTATAATAATTATTCAGAGGTAGGCTACATGACCAGACACGTGCCGCTATGACGCGTGCAGCTCAGACACGTGCAGCTATATTTGTTCAAATCCCTCCGTAAGTTGACGTGAAAAACCAACTCGCCTTTCCGATGAGGTACTTCCATATGAACGATAGACATCCCCACCTTCGCTTTCGCTTCACCTTTTTGATTCGCCCTAATAGCTAGCTCTCGTACCTTCTTGAGGTCTCCACTGATAGCAGCATTGTAAATGTCCCTGTTCTTGTCTGTACTTGAGGCTATACAAATCCATTCCCGACCTCGTGAGGTGAACCCACAAGCCACGATGAAGGCGTGCCTGCTTCTCTTACTTTTCATTCGAAATTGAGCAAATCCGTCGAAAGATTCGAGATTCCTGGTACTAAACATATCTTTCTGTTCGTTCCACATGCTCGCGGGAACGACACTTAAGCGTTCTATCTTTTCCGGATCGTAGTGGAATTGATATGCATCGCAGAAGCTTTGTGCATACTCCGCGACGACCGAGGCCTCTTCCTCTGTGTGTTTCTTGATGTAGAGTCTCATTATTTTCCTTTTGCACCCATCTTCGAGTTCGAATATTGCGCTTGGTTGTGATCTGAGGAAAACGCCATCATAGTGGTGTATAAGAGATATGCCGATAGACTTTCCGGGATCCTGATCCTTCAGGCGGCACCCAAGCCTGAGGTACTGCGTACTGTCTGCTTCCGTAATTATGTCGGCATCAATACGCATCCCCTTGTTTGTCATTGCATACTGGTCTAGTGTCAGTTGTTGTTCTCTCAACCTTCAGTATTGTGCTTGCTCTTCTGCGTAGCTCACCTCCGGGTTGTACGTGATGTCTTTGGTGAAAATCAGGGCACTAGCACCCTCAAATTCTCTTGGAGAAGTCGCCAAAATTCCTCTATACTCAGGAGTGCTCTGCTGGCCTGGCTGCGCCGGACTGCTAGTCCATGCAAACAACGTCATGTCGTTTTTTTCTTTCATGATTTCCGTCTGAAGACGCATAAAGGCATTTCCCCCTTCTCCATACAACAATGGCATGTTGATACCGAATACCCCTAACAGACTGTATGCAATATCCTCCTCTCGCGTCGTCGTTCGCCCAGACGCCCAGGACATCCTGCGAGCTAAGGGTATATTGTCCAGTATCCTCTCGACAGTCCTCCCCGAAGTGGCCTCGCGGAGAAGAACTTCTCTGTCAATACGAGTGCGCAGATGGATCTCATCGCAGCGTGTTGCTCTTGTCCCGATAGGATTCCATTCACTGTCAAAAAACTCGAATTCGTTCGGTGCAATGAGCTCTTGTAGAGTGAATCCCCTCGTGAACCACAGCGAGTCCTTTATTGATGACTGGCCGGGGGGCACGTCCGATAGGTAGGCAAAGCAGACAGCGGATTTGGCATACCACTTGAACATGGAGTTTATCGCCTCGGTGAGCTCTGTCAAGTCCTGCTTGTTGATGCAGCAAGTGTCCACCCATGCGTAACTGTAGCCCTTAGAGTGGGCGACCCGGCAAGCCTCGCGGACCTTCGCCCACCCGGCTTTCTGATCTAGGCCTTGGAGGTTGATGACTTCTTGGTAGGTGACTTCGCCGGCTTCCCAGCGGTGGGATAGGATGGCACATGATTGAGGGACTGATGAACCGAAGAATTCTTCGATCCCAAGGGTGGTGCAGTTGAGGAGCTTCATGGCGCTATCTGAGATGGGGGAGAACTCGCGCCAGGGGAAGCTGACAGGCGGGCAAGAATCTCGAGGGAAGAATCTCGGTCAAGCAGCTGCGGCTGATAAAACCGACTAATGCCGTGTTAGCTCGGACCTATTATGGCCCGAGGAATAACGGATTTTGCGTCAAGGGAGGGTACCTTGCAAGTAGAAAATTGCTAGAGTAGAACAATGCCACATGCGGTCATGTTATTATAGTCAAGCCCAACTCCCGACGCCGTCCCAATCATCATACAACGCCAGTAAACACCTGTCTCTGCTCACTTTTGCACAGCGTCAAGCCCAGCGAGTCTCCTGAACGCAGCATTCCCAAGTATAGGAAACTCCCCAATCCTCTCAACCGCCGGCCCACCAGCTCTCATCCCGTCCTCCCACCTCCCCATCGCCATCTCCGCCATGAACCGCCCCATCGGCAGCGTGGGGCTCCAGCTCCCCTTGGCGAGGCTCCTGATGGGCGGGCCCACCACCGCCAGCATCGCCCTCCACGCCGCCCCCGTCGCCGGGACGTACGGCCTTATCGCGTCGTGCTGCGCGGCGTCGACGAACGCGGGCCGGATGGACGACGCGCGGAAGCTCGGGTTGGCCCTGCGCATCTCTGCCAGGGCCCTTTCCGTCTCGCCCTTTACGCGCCCGAAGGTGGGCGTGAGGCGGCCCGGCCTGGTGGTCGACCCTTCGCCCGAGACGTAGACGAAGTTGAAGGGCTGCTCCTCCGAGCCGAGGGCCTGGAAGGCTTCTGCTGCGCGGAGGGTGAAGTCCTTTGTGATCCTGACGTATTCCCTGGGTGGACTGTTCAGCGCGTGCTCGCAGGTAGCTCCTCGCGGGCTCTAGGTTGTCCAAGGAACGGGCCTACTAACTCTTTGCTGACCTGTGTCTGGCTTATCCCAAGCGCCCAGACGCACCCGTTTGCTCCGCTCAACCTGCTGAGCAGATCCGAGTCGTACTTTTCGAAGTCCTAGTGGATGATGACATTGACCCGTGGGTCTTTCACGTCCTCCGCCATCTTGATCGGTCTCCGGCTGAGGACTGAGATTTTCGTGACGTCCTTCATCTTGATCATGGCGTCGAGGACGCCGGAGCCGACCAGGCCCGTTGCGCCAGTAAGAATGAGATGCATGTCGTCTTGTTCACCAATGATATGAAGGAGGGAAATGTGAGTGAAAGCGTTGCGGAATCGGTGGTATGTAGCGGCGATGTTCACAACTCGGAAAAGAAGAAATTGCTGAGCTCAAGAACAGATCACATCCTCGCTTTGGCGAGACGGTAGAATTTATGAGGTTTTGTGATGATGTGGTTGCACGTTGCCTGGGCTGGCTGGCTGGCGTCAGCCAAAGCTGAGTGCGGCCGTGCCACATTCCACACGACGTTAATGCACTATCACTTCATAGCGTGCGGCCGCATGTTCCGCATGTGTGTTACGCAACCCCAACTGCTGGCGGAAACAAAGCGGCGTTAGCATGGTATCGCCGGACATGGGCTCATTCCTTCTCACAGTAAACGCCGAAGCAGGGGGCTCACTCATCCACGGGTGGGGAAACCAAAAAACACGCTTGACATGAACTCATCGTGTAAATAAGTCTATGTGTATCCTCAATCTCTAAAAAACTATATATCATAATCTAGGCTGAAACATCAACGCCTCGCGTACTAAGCAACCTGTCTATTCTCCCTCCACCTTACAACTTGCTCTTGGCCCGGTTGTCCTGCCTGATCAGGTTGGGGCTGTCCGGGTTCGAGTCGTAGACGACGTCGTTCAGGGGGTTCAGCGTGCTCGCCCTGTGGTACATGTCCTCGTAGACGCGGCCGTCGAACCGGCCCAGGCTCGAGTCGAGCTGCCAGTCGGGGAACTTCCACGAGTCGACGAGGCGGACGGCGTGCGGGCGGACCTCCTCGAGCAGCTTCATGACCTGCTTGCGCGCGAGCGAGATCTGCTTGATGGTGGTGGCGGCGCTGCTGAAGAACTCGCTGCTCTCCTTCTCGAGCGTGTGCAGCGCGAACAGCTTGAAGAGCGTGTGCAGCACCCCGCGCGTCTGCTCGCCCACCGCGCCGCCCATGTTGCTGCCGTGCAGCGCGTCCTTGAAGCTCTTGACCACCATGTACTGCGCGTGCGCCGTGCTGAGCCGGTAGAAGTCCACCAGCAGCGAGTTCCACGGCTGCTTCTCCTCGTCGCGCTTCTTCAGCGCGTCAAAGGTCAGGTACGCCACCCGCCACGCGAAGGCGTCCACCAGCTCCTGGTCCGAGCCCAGCACGTCGAAGGCGGCGCCGATGTCCTGTCTCTTGAGGAAAACTTTCAGGAACCGGGTGGTGTCGTTGTCCGCTGCCTTGCCGCTGAGGACTGCGCGTGCGGACTTGAGCAGGTACCGCGCCACCTGCTGCGTGAGCATGTAGTTGTCTCCCTCCCAGGTGACTGTTGGCAGGTAGTCGGCGTAGTATGAGCCGATTCCGCTGAACGAGCTGTATCCGTGCCCACCACATGCGCGTCGGCAGACTTCCAGACCCTCGGCCGCCACCGTAGACGAGAATGCCTTGAGTGCACATGAAGTACTGTGCAGATCGGCCAGGAGGTCTGCACCCGGAGTCAACTCCTCAGGACCAGGTCGGCGCTTGGAGTCATTGCTGGGTGGCGGGTTGCCGGCAGCCAGGCGCTTCTGGTTCTCCTCGTACAGGCTGATCATGTTGCGGCCGGTGAAGTGCAGGGCGAATGTGGCGGCAAGCAGGGGCAGCAGGCGGAACTGCACCATGCTGTAGTTGAGCACCTGGTTCTCGCTCACGTCGCTGCCCTTGGCGTCAAGATCCTGGAACTGGCGGCGCACCGCACAATACCTGGTGGCGATGGTCACGCCGCGAGCCAGGACAGTGCCGGACTCGAGCACGATGGTGCTTCGTACGTAGGTGAGAGTGCCGTAGACGAGAGCCGGGGTTGGCGGGCGGATGTATTTGCTGGTCTCGGGGTCAACCTTGGAGAAGCGGGAGAGCATGTTGACATGCGGGATCTTGACGTTGTTGAGCAGCAAGAAGCCATTGTCCATCTGAGGTGACGTTAGTTGGGATCCAGCGATGGTCACCGTAGATGGCTACTCACCGTGTTGAAGCCGAACTTGGGCCCGATGTCTCCAATGTGGACATTCTCGAGCGGCTCGTGGGTGTTCAGGTCCCTGATGGGCACGATGAAGGGGTGGGGCCCGTAGCTCTTGCCCTTTATCACCAGCTGCGCCATCACGACGGCGTGGTTGGCGACCTTGCCGAGCGACCCGATCCACCACTTCGAGGCCGTCAGGTGAGGGCTGTGCATCGTGAAGGTCTTGTCCTCTGGGTTCCATGTCGCCGTGGTCTCGAGCCCCCTGACGTTGGAGCCGTGGCCCAGTTCCGTCTGTGCATAGCACCCAATGATCTCAAACTTCTTCGCCCTCTCGAGGAAAAGCTTGTGCTGCTCCGGCGTGCCCTGCTCGCGGATCGTGGGGATGAACATCTTGTAGTGCATGGCCAACGGCGTGGCCTCGCCGGTGAGCTGGTAGGCGTAGTCGAACTCATCCTGGGACCACTTGTTCTTCCGGGAGAGCTGCTCGATGCGCTTGCCGCGGGCCAGGGCTGCCACGAAGCGGTCCTCGCGGCTCTGGAAGTAGTTCTTTGACTTGTCAAAGACGGGCTCTGACGAGAGTGCCTTCACGATCGCCGCCTTCTGGTCGAGGGTCTTCTTGGTGAAGAGGAACTCGGCGAGTTGGTCAACGTCGATGTTGCTCTTCGCCCGCTCCTCGACCAGGATGTCAGCCCCCTGGGGCGACGCTGGCTTCAGCTGCTTGACCCAATCTGGATTCGGAGGCATGGTGAGTTTAGTGGTGGTGCAGGAGTTGCAAAGGTAGGGTGGTCAGCGAGACATGGGAGGAAGGGCCGAGCGAAGGGATGAGGTTAAAGACATGACAAGTGGCTTGCCGTCGAAGTATGTCCTAAAAGATGCCGAGGTTAAAGGGAGTGAGCGATGGCGGATCGATGACACGGCCGAAAAAGTGTCCGTAAGAAGATCCACATGAATCATGATGGCGTCCGGCTGGGGTACCCCGTGCTGCTATCTTGGTGCCGTAAGCGGGTCTGGGGGACAAATGCCATGTGAAAGACGACAGGCAGTGAATCACTTGCTGGGCAGGATTTACTGCAGCTCATGCCTCTGCCACTCCCACCGCCACGAGAGGTCATGCAGCATGGACAATCACGCGAAGCTTGGGAAACAATCACCGTTCCCGTCAGGAGCAGTGAGCCCGGTATCGGGCTCAGGGGAAGCCTGCGTGATGTACAGAGCCGCGTTGCACTATCCTCAATGAGTCCATGACGTGCGACAAGCTGTTAGTCCCCCCGAGGGTGAGACCGTTGCATTCGGCCCACGTTGAGCCTAGCCAGGGGTTCGCCTCCCTGCGGCTCGGCTCCATCTAGCTGGTAGTCTACTGGGGCGCCGTACCGAGGCGACCCTCGGCTCTGATGACTGCACTTCGGGCCTCGTGGCCCGGCCTTCCGCGCCTGCATATCAACAATCTCCAAGCCGACACGCTTCGAGTCGCCGAGGAAGCTGCCGTGCAGATATGTGGATAACCACATGCAGGTTACCTGCAACCTGCCACAGGACGCCAAACTGTAGTGAATTGTCTCCCTCTCTTGGGATAAGCCACCATGGGATAATCTCCAAGCTGCTATGGGACAACCTTCCATAACATAACTTGCCATGCAATCACCGCCAGTTGGATTACCTCCAACCTGCTATTGGATCTGAGGCTCGGGGTCAAGTTTCCCTTCAGCTGGGCAAATAGAGAGCTGCCGACGCGAGGAGCAACATTATCTACCAGTAGTCACCTGCCCAATGTCCTCGTGCTAAGTAGAGAAAGGCAACTGATCTTGGCAGGCACCGGAAACCGCCGGGCGGTGCACAACAAACACAGGACGTATTCATGCAAGCTGAGCAAGTTTACCACCGTGGTGCCAACATTCAGGCTTGAAGACCGTTTGTTGATGATGCCAAGCCCACCTTCCAACTTTGACTTGGCATGCGTTTGAAGGGAAGGAGCACATATCTAGAATCCAAAGCTCGCGCCTGACATCGGACAACAGCAACGTCACGTTATAGCTTTTCATTAACAAAACCATTGGCAGTTATGTTTGGTAAATTCCTACCGCAATGTTGACCTCGTTGGTTTACGACAGAAGCATACTTGCCTTGCTTGCAGATCATCACTCCACGAAGCATCAAACAATTCGTTCACGCGGTCTCTCGATTCTCATTCTAGCCATGGCATTTCTCGATGTCATCAGAATTTTCTCGGGAACAGTGCCAGTATCTGGCACGGGAAGGGCTGTTGAGCCTCTGCCGTACCTCGAATGCTGAACTAGAGTCCCCCGTCGAATCGCTCCAGCGGATGTGGTGGGCCGAGGGCGGCGAAATCCCAGATGCCCTAAGAAAAGTCTTGCCAACCACCTTGCTGAACATCACTCGAGGCCTCCAAAGAATGCTGGTTGTCGACTCGCGGTTGATCTCGGGCTGTTCGCGCACATGAGGCGGGTCGAGCAGACTGATGCACAAGCTGGTGAGCAAGGGGTCACTGCCACGGACCTTGCGAGACGGGCTGGAGTTCATCCGGCCATGATTTCCGAGATGATTAGCCATCATCCTGTGAGTATCCGATTTGAACAGTCGATCACAAGCTGGAATGATGAAGCATTTCGCAGCCATGAATGTCGTCGGCGAGCTTGGCCCTGACATCTACCTCTTGCTGCCTTTCAGCCGCGCATTGGCCCTTCCGGTGTTTGGTCACGGCGTCATTATCAAGCGCGTGACTGAGAGCACTGTTCATTTCCTTCCTTGCTTGAACGCTACCTGGACAATAACGTCAGTGGGTCATGGAGAAAATGCTGCACATTCTGCGATAGGCCGGACGGAAGAGGACGTGAAGAGCATCTGCCCGCTGATTTCAAGGTGCGGAAAGCGTACCGCCCTTCGCTCAGGATGACGGTGCTGGTGGAGCGTGATTGGGACCCAGTCGGAGTGAGCCATTGAAGATGGAGCGGGCTCGTGAAGGATAGTCATTTTTGACGCCAGCGTATGTAATGGCATTACCATTGCTACACATTGGTACTATTCGCTAACACAGGTGATTTCTCCCACGGTCTATTATCCCATAGACCAGTTGAATACTATGCCACATTCAATCATTCCCCAGTCGAGATTCGGAAAGGCGGGGTATGGTAGGTGAGGTTTTTCGAGGATTGCCAGTGTCATGGGGATGATGCAATTAGAATCACTGCTGTTTCGCCGCCAATTAGAAATAGGTGGATGGTAGAAGACTACTTACACCATTCGTTAAGATGCATGTTCAAAGAGGGCGGCGGGCAAGGGTGGTTATATGTATGAGGCCTACTGTCTGCATATGCACGTCCTAGATTGGGAAACCAAAACCTGATATCTTGCAAGGGTGATTTATTGGTACACCCGTGGCGTTGAGCATATGATTGCCAACGAATTGATTTAGGGACCAGTCGGAAGCGTCTCCCACCGGACCGCAGATGCATAAATGGTTCCATATGGCGGACCGCCGTCCAGACCAGGCCAAGAGCGGCAAGTCCAAGAAAGCCTTGCTGCAGTCAGTTACAGGCGCGTATGTTGTGACATTCTGGCATGAACGTGTTCAGTTCGGGCGTCAGGCCGCATGGAAATCGTCACCGAGTACCGTCATATCGCTGCGAGCGCCAATCTTCAAACCCGCGTTGCAGCTGGCTAGCCACTCTCGACGGCATGCATGCAATGTGCTGTAACCCTCCTGCCACTTCCACGTCCAATCGCCTCCGCGCGATAGATATCGAGACCGTTTTCTTGCACCTGCCGAGACCTTGCAAACGGGGCTTACCTACGACCGGTGAGGCCACCCAACGGCCAGAAATGGAGCACATCATCGACGTGGGCTTGAGTAACCCGAGTGCGGCTCAAGCCACGTCTGAACGGGGAGATAAAATGCGAGCCATGTGGCGCCTCGAGGCATAGTGGAAAGCTGGGACGAAAAGCAACTGAGGTTTCTTTTATGGCGTATATTGACGTTTGAATAACACCCGGCCTGCCCCATATTCATGCATGCATTGCCATGCATGCTCTGCCGATAGACGATGTTTACACCGAAACAGCCCCAGCGTTACTCTCTACCCATAGAGATGATCCCGGCAACTCGCGGGGGCCAGGATACAGGTATCCTTCCGGATCATCCCTGGTTGCAGACGGCAGCACTGTCTTGTTCTGTCGAGCGCTGACAACTCGCTTCGTGCAGCACTAGGATATCCTAGGAGATCAATGCTAAAGAGAGACGCGTCCAGCAATGATAACTCTGCTCGCACGGGCCTAATCGTTTTTGGTGTTGTCCTGGCTATCAGTCTTGTCTTCCTAGTTTGGTTCTGTTGCGTCTATCTAGATCGGAAAAGGGCGGTTATCTGTCGACGACCTCCGAAAAGGCCAGATATTTGGATCGGCCCGCAAGGTCCCCCAGGCATACCCGGACCACAGGGTATTCCCGGGCCCCAGGGCGTACCGGGTGATCCCGGTGCTCCTGGCCCTCAAGGCATGGATGGCGCTCAGGGGGCACCAGGCGCTCGAGGCATGCCCGGTCCACAAGGGATTCCCGGCTCTCAGGGCTTTCCGGGCCATCAAGGACCTCCTGGACGTGACGGGAGGGATGGGATATCTGGCAAAGATGGAGCACAAGGACCAAAGGGCGATATGGGGCCTCAAGGAGAGCAAGGTGAACCAGGAGAGATGGGGCCACCTGGTGAAGATGGCTTACCAGGAGAGCCAGGAGAGCCAGGAGAGCCAGGAGTGCCAGGAGGGCAGGGCGAGAAGGGCGAGAAGGGTGACCCAGGTAATCCAGGCGAAAAAGGTGACCGAGGAGAGCAGGGCGAACCGGGGTGCAGAGGACCACAGGGTGAGAGAGGAATACCTGGAGAAAGAGGTTGCCAGGGTGAGAGAGGAATACCTGGAGAAAGAGGATGTCCGGGCCAGAGAGGAACACCTGGGGAAAGAGGATGCCCGGGCGAGAGAGGGATACAGGGAGTACAAGGATTGCAAGGCTTCCCGCTGCATTGCTTACCTGCCGAGCCGAGACGACCCGGTGGCATCAGCATGATCATCAACCAGACCTAGTGTACATTATGACTGGGTCCTTCTGGCTATTGTCTCGAGATACACGCCGCAAGTGTTTTCAACTTAGTCTATACAGATACACACACACACACACATATATATATATTTATATACACAGCTATTCTCCTACCGGTTCCATGGGTTGGTGCAATTCAAGACCCATCGGGATTCCGCCCTGCAGAGGAGCCTGCATCATATGTTCTGTACAAATTCCGCGCCCAGAGAAGTCCCTGGAAACACTTAATAGTGTCCTGCCTCACTGAGGAGTACCTAGGTAGATGTTACTGGTTCGAGTCCGAGACATATACGAATGATTTTCGGTGCCTGGTACCTGGCTCCGGTTTCTTGGCTTCCAATTATATTGAAATCTAAGGGTAGTGCTCAGCCAGCGATTGTTGTTAAGCATGAGTAAGGCAATGATACATCATCACGAAATTGACCAAAACGGGATCCTGCGACAACTACTTCAAGGGCTAGCTTCATTCTCTCCTCGACCTTACAGACAATCCTCACATTCTATACCCGGCCCAACTCCGAATCTGGCTGCTCCGCGTTGCATGGACAAGGGCCGTCGCAAAAGACCATGATCATGCATTGCCATTGATATCGCCATGCACAACCGAAGCCACACGACAGTTTGATTTCAGAAAGTGCACTGGTGGCTACGGCTACTGAGAAGATAAGAAGACATAAGAGGAGAGAGAGAGAGAGACAAAAAAGGCCCTTGTAGGTGATTAGGTTTTTGAATAGATCAAATGGTGACTCCGTCCGCTTCCGACCAATTATCCAGAAGACCAACACCAATGATAAAGCAGACTTATATGTCATGTATCACGTAGGGCTGAACCTGTATCACTATATCTCGAGATAATGCGTCACAACGGAGGCAGGTTACTTCGCATTTCACTTTGGCATGTCGCTCATAGGATGATTCGATTGACCGGCTCGAGGTCCGGACGGAAGACCGGGGGGCTGCACGCCCAACACGCGACCAATCAGAGAGGGCGGCAAGGTTCAGAATCCTTCCAATGCAACGACGTCAACACCATCACGCACGCTGCGCCTCCATCACGCAGCTTGATCACAACACCTGCAGAGCCAATTCAGGTACTCAGACGACCGGATTAGCCGAGACTGCAATCGAAAACCGGCGAATGCCCCTCTTTGACGGGCAGTCTCCCAGCTCCCTGTCCTGAGGTCTTCCAGCTGCATTCTTGCACCGCCAAACCCCAGAGCAACAGAGCCCCTGAAGCCGAGCGGACCATGTGGCCTCATAATGAGGCTCCTGAACACCACCACCCTGGAGCTGAAGACATTTACAAGGCGATGCCCTGAAGAATACGCAATCCTGTCACACACGTGGGGCGAAGAAGAGGCACCTCTGGAAGCGTTCCTCCCCAAGCCCAGGTGGCAGCGTGCCGCGGCCCGGTGGAGGAAGCGCAGGCATCCAAAGATAGTGGGATCCTGCCGCCTCGCCAAGTCCCAGGGCTACGACTGGATATGGATTGACACCTGCTGCATCGACAAGTCCTCGTCGACCGAGCTTTCCGAGGCCATCAACAGCATGTATGGCTACTACGAGAAGTCCGCCGTCTGCTTCGCGTATCTCGTCGACGTGGAGGCCGACTTTTCCTCGCCAAGGGTGGACGTGGGGATAGCACTGGCCGAGTCGCGCTGGTTCACGAGGGGTTGGACGCTGCAGGAACTAATTGCGCCGTCGAGCGTGGAGTTCTACAACAGGGACTGGGTCTACATCGGTAGCAAGACGTCCCTCTCCTCGGCCCTCGAGAAGATCACGTCTATTCCCGCCGGCCTCTTCTCACCAGCATGGTGCAACCTCTGCGCAGGCGGGATGGCGCGCCAGTCCCTGCACCTCCTGTCCGTGGCACAGAAGCTGTCGTGGGCGTCGACGCGCCAGACGACCCGCGCCGAGGACCTCGCCTACTGCCTGATGGGCCTGTTCGACGTGCACATGCCCCCCCTCTACGGCGAGGGCGAGTCAAAGGCCTTCGCCCGGCTCCAGGCCGAGATCGCGAGGCAGACCAACGACCAGAGCCTGTTCGCGTGGGGCGGGTGGTACGACCAGGAGGGCTGCGACAGCACGGTGCTCTGCTACTCGCTCTACGCGCCGCACCCGAGCCTCTTCGCCGGGCTGGGCGACATCCGCACGTCCTACAGCCGGCTCGTCAGCATCCTCGACCACTGGGCGCCGCCGTTCGAGACGCCCAACGACGGGTACCTGCGCATAAAGATGCGGGTGTGTCCTAATGACGACCAGGGGATCATGGGGTTTATGGATGATGATCACATCGCATTCCTGGAGTGCGAGATGCACGGGACGACGGACACTGTGGTGGGGCTCTTTGTTAAGAGGCTTGAGGATGTTAACGGGGTGAAGAGGTTCATCAGGGTACGCCGCCTACTTGGCAGGTTTCCGAAGGCCAACGCTCTGAAGTGCGAGATGGAGGACATCTTGCTGGGTGCACTGCCGCGTCATATTCCGCGGTTTAATTTCCTGGGCACGGCCTAAGGGCGCAGATGGTGCAACCGTCTACAATACTGAGAATTCGGTGTATGCCTATCCCTTTTGCAGTGGACGATGGAGAATGATGCCCCGCAGATGACGAGAGATGCTGATCCAAAGTCGAAGTCGTCCGCGATGCGTTCGGGGGTGAACGCGCATTAGCTGTCGATGTTTGCGAACGGGGCAATATTAACAAGGTTGAGACCAATAATCTACTACTTACGCATTGGCGAGGTCTTGGTATGGCGGCGTCCGGTGTTGAATTTTGAAGAATATACTCTGAAACAGATGTTTGCTACTGCCGCCAGATTTGGGATTGGATGATACGCCACTGCTCAAGTGATAAATCCGGGTCGACCAAGCGCCCTGCGTTACGCTATTTTGATACTTGGCGATGGACACAGATTCTCCAGGATACATATGCAGACCTTTACACCTTGTCCTTCGGGCTCATCAATGGAGTCTTCTCATCCCGGCTCAGTCTGGAAGACGCCGTATGTGACCCGAGTCCAAGAGTTAAACCGGTGCCCAAGCCTTTGAAACCACCTGCACCAATGTCGTGAATGCTCCTGTTGACCTCATCCATGCCTCCACTCGGGATAACCAGCTCATTGCTGCCGTTCGCAAAACTGTGTTTTGCCGATGCACCGATAGCGTGCTTGCTGAGTGTATATTTGGTTGGACTGGAGAGGTTGGTAAAATATTTGTCTGTTATATTATCGATGCTCTTCACGACGGCGGAACGCGTTTTCTCGTCGAAAGCGCTCTCGAAGACCGTTCGTGGCTCAAAAAGGTCGATGGCAAGTTTTCGATCATCCGGGAGGGCCTCGGCCAGCTTCTGCCAGTCGCATTGTCTGATGATGCGCCGAACGTAGCCACAAGACTGTCCACGCGGTACCGCAGCGAGGATGCGTATTTTTTCCTCGACGTGAGCTTGGTTCAGGCCCATTTCTTCAAGCGGAGAGACGATCGAACGTTGATACTCCAAATCGGAGTCGTTGGGATCACTCTCGGCGGTGCTGTGAGCCTGTACCAGGCCGGCCATATCACATGCCCAGTCGTGGACATTGCTGCTTTTGGCGTCGCGAAGGGCCGGCGTCGACGTGTATTCGTCAACTAGGAAATGAGTAAGAAACCGCCGATGCAGGCCAATGTATGCTAGAAGAGATGACGAGGTCATGTAATTCTCGTGAAACTTGCACCAGTGTTCTGAAACTCTGTCGTGTGCATTGTCGAGATCCCTCAAGAGCTCTGTGTTGGTAGTGAGGTCAGGCTGTTCAACGGCTTCTGAGTGTATCTCTATAGCGTGTCGTATCTCTCTGAGAAGAAGAGGCGTGAGACCAGTGGCAAACCTTTCCTGGATTTGTAAGGACGTAATGCGATGCCTCACCAGCGATCTGGCCTGTTCGTCATCGTTTCCCATAATGTCGTTCTAGAGAGAAGTGCTGGTAGATCTTGAGAAAGGTGAGCATTGTGCGGGGAGTGGCATCCGCCTGCCATTTCAATTATTATCCATGTCTTGGCTCAATGTAGTGTGATGTAACGACACCCAACATGCACGCAGCAGCGCAGTGACTCAGCCGCTGATCTGCAGCCGCCTTTCCGCGAACCAACAAGCAACAGTAAGCAACACTTTTTCACAGAGTTCCCATCTTGTGTTGCTATTTTCAGGCCAGCAGACCGGACTGGGGTTTCTGTCTTGGTCATGTATATGGACCTCTTGCCCTCATCTTTGGATGTGATGTTCATGGGCTGCTCCATACAGAGAAATAATTTGATACTGGTGTAAGACTTTTGCGTGCTGGCTATCACGAGTTGTGTTCCCTACGGTGGAAACAGCAGTCAGCTTGGCAGGGGGTGCGATTCTGGACGTTAGAAAGGGGTCAAATTCTATCAACCCACGGGAATAAGTAAACGACGGTCTTGAGTTACTCCCCACTAAATTAATCACCAGGGCATGGACAGCGAAAACCTGCCAGCGGAATCTGCCCTGGATGAGGCACGCCCGAGAGTGATCCTTCGGTGATGAGGTCGTCCACCTGAGCACTTCGACAGCAATTTTGAAGACAAGTGTACTTGTCTGTGTATCCTAGTGCTTCTATTGTACAGGAACGATTGAGTCGGGTGCTGTAGGTACCTATCTTCACTTGCTTGAAGACCATCGCCAACCGAAAGACATCGAGTACAGATGGCAATTCAAATAAATCGGTCTGAGCACAAGATCTGCCATCTCGATTTCCCTGCGTCACTCAGCGGGCCCCATACCATCCCCCGGCACAAAGACAGTCCGCCGACGATCCCAAGCATCCGCCAGAGTGTGGCTCCCATCCTCATTCCGGCCCCACTGCACCAGGTGCTCGCCCTCGCCCCGGTCCCGGTACGCCCTCTCCAGCCTGCACGGCATCTCCAGGCGGGCCTCGGCCAGCCTCGACTCGACCTGCCGGGTGAGGATCCACCTGGTGGTCCTGTCGACCTTCTCCCTCACCCCAGGCTCCCCAGGGTCCGCGTTGAACGCGATGTAGATCTTGGCCGCCACTCTCGTCGACCCCTCGGCGAGGAGGAAGAAGACCCGCACGTCCCGCGGGTCCAGCATCTCGCTGCTGCGCTCCCCCGTGTCCCAGGGCGTCCTCATGGCCTCCTCCTGGTACCTGACGCCCATGAGCCCGAACCGCTCCCGCTTCAGCCGGAAGAACGTCTCCCGCACCGTCGCGGGGTCCCCGGACGCCTTGGCCTCCCTCCACGCGGCCCTGTGCCGGCGGAGCCCCCTCTGCAGCTCCGTCTTGGGCAGGATGTCGGCGCCGAGGGCCGTGTGCAGGATGTCGAGGCCGGCGTACTCGTCGATCATGACGAACGCGGCCCCGAGCAGGAGGGCGTTCCAGAGGTAGCTCGACAGGCCGCTGCCGCCCGCCTTCCGCGGCTTCCCTACCGCGCGGACCTTCTCGATCGCCGCGTCGCGGGTCCTGGAGGCGAGGACTTCGACTGGCCCCTCCGGGAGCAGGATCCGGGCGGCAACCATGGCGGCGGGCAGGCCGGCCACGAATGCAATCGGCCAGGCGATGCGCTCCAGCGCCTTAGGCCAGTGCAAGGACATCGATGAGATCGTGAGGGGACTGGGCAATGTGATAGGCGAGTTGCGAGGGCGACGAAACCATGGATGAAGCAGCCACGAGAAGTGTTCACAGTATTCCAGTTGGGAACAGTGAAGCAGAATAAGGGCAGAAGACAGGAAGGACGGAAGACGAGAAGGGAGGTTTGCCCTCAGCCACCACCCAGGCAGGAATTTGGACAGGCTGCGCTGGGCGAACCAGCCCGGCCTGCAATGCGCAAGCCTGCATTTGCGATGTATGTCTAGGGAGTGACGTTGGCGGACACGGTTTCGGATCAATTCCGCAGAAGCAAGGGCGAGAGGAGTCGGGGACTCTTACAAGGCTGGAGTGCATTTGTACCACGAAGCCCAGCGATGATGATTGAGCCTTTCAAGGCACGCGAGATTGCTTTTCTCTGCTGACGCAGCCTGTGCCGTGCATGGAAAAGTCGCTCGCAGCGGAGAGTTGGCATGCAGACGTGCAGGCACAACCGCACATCAAGGGACGACAATGTCAAAGCTGATCAGTAGGCAGTGGCGTGGCGTAAATCAGTGCTTCTGCGGGACGGCAACGTGCAAGTTTGGGCCGCTCTCGCGTCGCGATGCGCAGATGTAGGATCCCGTTCGGAGCACGTGTGAGGGACCTGAAAGGCTCATGTCGGTAAGCTGCCAGGGCTCTATTAAAAATATTCTATCCCTCATGACAGCCTCACTTGTGGGCCCGCTTCGTGCCCCTTCCTTATTGAATGGACCTCAGATGAGCCACTGTTCAAGTTCCAGAGTACACAGCAGGAATATATGCTGCTGGAGGGACCACGTGTGACGTGGTGTAGGGTAATCGAGCATAGTAGTCGAGGTATGGGGCGATACCTTTTCCACCGTCGCACATGCCAAATCGTGAAATATCCGTTTCCACCGCCCAGTCTTGCTCACGCAAACTGCGGCAACACCCTGTCGTTTGCCTGATTCCACAAGGTATGGGTCCAGTTCTCCGGAAGCACATGCGATATCTGGAAAGAAGCAGACGCAGACGTCAGCATTCGATTCGAAAGGCGCACATCAGTGGCGGCGGAGGAGGTGCACTTGACTGACCCTGGAGAGATGCAGTTGCCAGTTGTTGGGCCTCGGGCCCCTCACGACGGTGCAGCGCGCCCCGTCGAGCATGCCGTCCGCGAGGTAGGTGCCCGGCAGGCCCTGCAGCGGTGCCTCGCGTGGGATGCTGGGCAAGTAGAGGACGAAATTCCGGGCCTTGGCCTGGAGGAGCTGCTTGAGGAAGCTCCGCTCGTTGACGCGCTTGTGCCAGGGGCGGAGGTCCTCGGAGTCGAGGTAGACGTGGAGCTCGCGGAGTTTGGGCAGGGCCGACAAGCGGCGGCTGAGATCCTCCCACGGGTTGTCCTTTGCGGTGACTGGGACGCCTGCGATGTGTGGCTGAGGCTCGCCGTCCGGGCCGGGGAAGTAGAGCTCGGATATCAGGGGTTTCACGCGGAGGCTGATCTCGATGTTGCGGACGTTCCGGGTGGGTGTGTTCACGGCGAGGAAGTCTCTGGCCACGATGATATCGGTGAAGCAGAAGGTCAGGGCGTTCTCGAGGGGCCCGATGCTCTCAACGTACCTGGTGTGGTGTCAATTGTTGAGCCAATTTCGAGGAGTGGACAAGGAGGTGGCGGGATCGAAGAGCATAAGATATGGGCAGCCAACATACCATCGTTTGCAAACCAAGAGGGGCGAGGAGGGCGACGCGAATCTAGGCCGCCGTCGGACATAGTCCCTCGGTGAAGCTGTCCGTCCCGTCCTGGGGTTCGTTGCCCTGACAGCAGCTGCCTCGGCGCATCTCCAGTGTGTGTTCCATGGTGACCGCAGCCTTGACTCCCAGGTGAGGGCCTCTACACCGCGCGAAGACTGGAAGTGGGCGTATCTCGTGTCCTCCTCGTGCGCGTCGGTGATGCAGGGGAACACCGGTACCACATGCTCTCCGGCTGAGTGAACATGCCATCTGGTATCGTGGAATGCCCACAGCTCGTCGAAGATCTTCTCGCGGATCTCAAAGGGGAGCTTATCGAAGAAGGGCGATGCTGTCTGGGGCTGCGCGGTTGCGGCCATGTCGGACCGGAGTTGAGCCATGCCGGCTGGGGAATTAGGGCGTTTCTAAGGATGCGCAGTGGCGAAAGGGACTGACGACATGGGCAAACAGCAAGCCGGACGTGAGCTGGGCTTGTGTCAAGGATCGCCGTCTGAGATGAGCAGGACGTCTACAGGTGGGCTTTGAGAGCTCTGCCCGGCCTCATGTGACTGACGGGAAATGAGAAGCCGTCTGGGAAGGTATCTCCAGGGAGGAGAGGACACGAAGGACAAACAAAACCCGATGTTGCAGACGATGGGGAAAAAAAAGAGGGGGATGCCGGGATTTGGATCAGTCCTGCGCCAAAGTAGATTTAATCCTATTGTGGTCTGGCGACTCGAGCTCTCGCGCTCGCGCACCCATACTGCTGGGCAATGGTGGCCACTGCGGGCCGTCTGGATGGGGAAATGCTGCCTGACAGTCCATCATTCTCACATACGTATGACGCCACTGCCTCTCCAAATCCCACTTGGACCCTGAATCTTCTCGCTCGGGTGGGGGAACCACGACTGGCACCCAACCGTTGGTGCCCGCTTCCGAGCTACACCAGTTTCAGCTTACCGCACCCTTGCATCGTTGTACTCGTGCCAGGTCCAGGGGCGTAGCACCCAGATGTTAGCGTCTGTTCACCCCCCAATTTGGGCACGGCAAACTGGGCATCGGACGCCCTGAAATGCAACCCTCAAGGTTCTCTTATTCCCAAGGGCAAGAGATTTAGGATTCGAATTATCAAAATTATGTCCGCCATATGACGATAACACTCGACGTTCCTGACTCGCAACCGTCTGTAACCTGGACGAGCGGAACCAGATTTGGGAAAACACAGGGGGTGCCAGTCATTTCTTGTTATGGCGCGACACCGACACCGAATGTTTCAGCGTCTGCAGGTTGGTCCTCTGTTCCCACAAACCTTGTGATCGGCCCCAAACAGTCCTGAAAGCATGCCCTGTGATACCTACCCATTGTAACTCTCATACTTCTCATAATGGAGAAAAGGCCGAAAATGTGGTTATTTGTGCCGATCTGCCCATGCGTTCCCCCATGCTGCGATCGAGTGTCACCAATGGTCGTCAGCTGTCTCAGCAAGTTCGAGCCAGCGGTCACACCAACGACGGGATTAGGCATACGGCCACTGCAAATAACAAGTTGCTTGAGCCACGGAACAGTTGTGCAACTCATGCCTGATCTCCAGATAAAAGCTTCCAGACAGGGAAGTGCAGTATATGGTGGTCAGCGCCGAGATAGGCAGGCCTGTACGGCCACTGGGCCAAGTTTCAACGATGGTATCCAGACCTGATCACCTAGACTACCGATCTAACTTTACGCAGCAGAACTGCAAACCACTCGCACCCGTCAGGCCAGCTTCCACAGCTTGTCGAACCGGTTCGCCGGGTCGAACTTCTGCTTCAGCTCCTTCAGCCTCTTCGCATTCGCCCCAAAGGCCCCCTCGGCACTGATGCTGCTGTCCAGGTAATTGTTGTAGTGACCAACGCCCTCGCCCCCAACCTCGTCACCCTTGAACCCCTTGTCCCTGATCAAGGCCGCAACCTCCTGCTTGAACGCGCGGACGTCCTTGTCGCTCTCCGGGTTCTTCCAGCTCATGAGCACGGCAACGTTGAAGTACTTGCCACGGTTGGCAAAGGCCGTCGCCTCAGGGGCGACCTCCCGCGCCTTGTCGTTCGGGAACAGCTCGTACCCAATGATGCTGCCGCGGAGGTCCTCCCTGCTCGGGTCCGAGCTGAACCGCTCGATGCCCTCCCACCACACCTTGGCAGCCGACTGCACGACCCCAACGTCGACCGGGTAGGTGACGTTGGCCGCGCCGAACTGGTACCTGCCCCCGTGGGGCACCCCGGCGTTGGCGAGGCTGTTGACAACCTTGTACGGGACCGTCTGCACGGCATTGAGGTGAGGCCCCACCTTCAACAGCGGCGCGTACGCCCTCTCGCCCTCCTCGGCGCTGCCGTTGTGGAACACCTGCGCGACGATGACGCGCGCCCTGTCCGGGGGCGGCGAGTACCCAAACGCCAGCAGCATGGCCTGGTTGCCGTCCTGCGCCGCCAGCACGCCGTTGCACCCCTCCACCACCTCGGAGAGCTGGTCCGGCGTGAAGATCAGCACCCCCGCCCAGACGTCGCCCTGCGGGAACGCGCGCGACGTGAACCTCGTCACCGCGCCGAAGCTCGTCCCCGCGCCGCGCAGGGCCCAGAACAGGTCCGCGTTTTCGTTCTCAGACGCCGTCACGACGCGCCCGTCGGCGAGGACGACCTCCACCTCCAGCAGAACGTCGACGGTGAGACCGTGCCGAGGGCTGAGGAAGCCGAACCCGCCGCCGAGGACGAGCCCGCCCACCCCCGTGTGGTTGACGGTCCCCCCCGGCGTGGCGAGCCCGTGCTGCGCGGCCGCCTCGTCGACCTCGGACCAGAGGCACCCGCCGCCGTAGGTGATGGTCTGCCTGTCCGCGTCGACGCTGACCTCGCGGATGAGGGAGAGGTCGATGACCACCCCCTCCCCGCCCTTGGACGACTGACCGGACGTCGAGTGCCCGCCGCCGCAGACGGTGAAGGGGAGCGAGTGCTCGTTGGCGAAGACGATGGCCGCGCTGACCTCTGCTGCCGACGTGGGCTTGATCACTGCCGCCTGTTCTCTCGCACTCAGTGTTCTGCGGCTAGGTAGGGGCGACCAATGTGATTTACTCACGGCTGGCTTGATGCAGCTCGCGCTCCAGCGCTTCAGGCTGTCGTCGTAGTCGGCATCGCCCGGCACGACGACCTTCCCGGTCTTGAGGTCCTGCTTCAGCGAGTCAAAAATGGATGCCATCGCTTTGTTTCTTTTTCTAGTACGTGCAAGTCATCAATAAGGATATCTAATTACCCAGCTATCTCAGCGCCGACGACGACGAAGGATAGCAGTAAATGTCAGCCCCCCCGTCTCACCTCGCAGGAGCGGGGTGATAAAGCACCCAATTCACACTAACAACCAACAACACCCACCGCCCGGGGCCCGATACCTCATTAGGCAAACGCATGTGCCCTGATCGACAGTTTGCTTCTAGGGCTTACACCATCATCCTGAACTCAACACCCGAATCCTGACTGTCATGGGGACATAGTATTGTCAATATGGAAGATTGCGTGACCAAATGTGCTGAGACGCAACCACAGCCCAGTTCGGGTCAGTCACGGACATGTAGTCAATCGGCGCAATTCTGACATGTAAACAACTTGTCCGACCAAGTAAATTGCTATCCACGGTGAGATATAATTATCCTGCCATGGCAAACCGCCCTGTCCCGTTTGTCTCCGCGGCCGACAACCCGCCTTCCCGGCAGAGATCGATTGCTCAGCCTCCATTTCCAAACACTTGAGCAGCCACCGAGCCGGTGCTCTTCTGTCGCAGTAGAGTCAAGGCCAGGATCTCTATCTGCCTGTGCATCCCTCGATCGATCACGCAAGCGAACCGCCACAGGGAAGGCGCTTGGGTTCGAGAGTCGCCGCTCCCAGGTGTCGCTCCTTGATACGGTTGGGCATTTGTGTGATGGCAGTCGCGTGGAGGAGAGAATGAATGATTGATAGTCTACTAAGTTGACGCGGGCGATTGACATGGTGTGCGGCAATGTCGTCCGATGCAACTGCCTGGGACTCGGTAACAGAGTTCCTTCTCTCCCCAGACGCCGGGTTTCCTGAGTTGGTAATTAGTGCCAAAAGTCCCCATGCAGTATTGATTCGGCATTACTATAGCTCAGGATATGAAGCCTAGGTATACGCAACAATTTCCTGCTTCAATGTTGAGTCCGCGATCCTCTTGGGAGAAAGCGTTTCGTAAAGGGGTTCGATTACCTGCTAAAATGAGTAAAATGAGAATGAGCACCTGATGGAAAGACCGTATCGGTATCCCTGTCTTTACTCGGAAGAACTTTAGAAGCTCAACCCGTTTTGTGGTTTTACAGACTGGACAATATCGACCCAGCAAAAATAGTAGACAGCTATGGAAAAGGCAGATTATTGACGAGAATTCGCCTTTCTCATCTCCACTCGTCGCACATATCACGCGACCGCTGCCGTAAATAGAGCTCAGCCTCGCTGCTGTCTCGTACGGATCCATGGCAGCCTGGCAACGTACAGCAAGTTGATTTCAATGGTATGCTGTTTGGCTTTGGAGAGAGAATGAAGCTTTGTGTCTTGCATGTGTTACCTCTACATTTAGAACAAAGACATACTCACGCAGACGATTGTGAAGTTGAAGGTACAACGTCTCTAATATGATGGTGTTCTGCGAAGTATGTGATTGAAGAATAGTTACAAGCGAAACGAAAAGTCTATGAGATCTACGGCTGTCCCACTCAGGTCATGTCCTCCTGGGTGGCCCTTCAAAACCTCATGGAACGGTGACGAAGCTGCCTCCTGGCAGGGGAAGCAGCCGGAGCAGCGGTAGAGTTGGAGAGAGGGCACGAGGCGTACATGACGCCACGGCCGTTGGTACCAACATACACGACATTGGCCTCGTTGGCGGAGCCGACAAGGGCGGCACCGTCAATAGCGCCGAAGCTGTAGGAGCCCTGGATGTCGACCCAGGTAGCGCCGCCGTCGGCGCTGGCGTACAGCTTCTTGCCCTCGGGGCCGTTCCCGAAGACGTACAGGTTCCAGGCGGTGCCGTCGCCCTTGCCGACCGAGACGGCGTGGGCGTTGGAGGGGCTCGAAGACAGCGGGGAGAAGGCCTGGCCGAAGTTGGTGCTGTGGAAGATGCCCGCGTCGGTCGAGACCCAGATCTCACCCGCGACGGCGGGGTGGGCGGCGATGTGGCGGATCTCGGTGGCGTTGGCGAGCGGGGCGGACTCGACGAAGGTCGCTGCGCCGTCGGCGGAGACGTAGAAGGCAGCCTTGGACCCGGCGTAGAAGACGGTGCCGTTCTGCTTGTCGCTGGCGATGACGCTGCTGGCGGGCAGGGTGACGTTCTCGAGCCTGCCCTGGCCGCGGGAGGCGAGGACGCCCTCGTTGAGTGTGGACCAGAGGATCACGTCGCCGTCGGCCGAGTAGGCGACGGTGCCGTCGGCGGCGGTGGTGCCGGTGGCGTTGACGACGGCCCAGGTGGCGCCGCCGTCGCTGCTGAGGGCCAGCTGGGGGGTGCCGGTGGCCTTGCCGATGCGGGCGACCTTGGTGACGTCGTTGCCGGCGAAGTCGACGGATACGCTGCTCGCCCACCAGGGGTTGGTCCATGCGGTCTGCGGGGCCGTGCCGAGGTCGGCGACGGAGTCGTAGGTGAAGCCGTTGTTGTCGAGGGTGGCCATGAGGAGCTCGGGGCCGCCGGGGGCAGAGGCCAGGCTGGAGATGGCCATCTCCTCGATGCCGGAGGCAAGACTCTCGATGGTCACGGTCTTGTTGTTGTCCCAGTTGGTCAAGTCGTGACCGCCGTAGATGGTGACACCGGTGCCGTAGAGCCACCTGTCGCTGTCGTGGGGGTCGATCTCGAGGGACTCGATCATCCAGCCGAGCTTCTTGGTGTCGGTGTCGAGGAAGTTGGTCTTGATCCAGGGAGCCTATTTTTGGTGAGCCACAAATCTTTCGTTTTGAAGGGTTAAAACTTACGTTCTTTGTGCCGATGGTGTACTGGGGCGCAACGTTGCCGTCGGCTCCCCAGTTCCAGATCTTCTTCCAGGTGGCGCCGGAATCAGTAGAGCGGAAGAGCTGAGCATCGGGGTACCAGCTGTTCAGGGTAGCCACCACGATGGTGCCGGGCTTCTGCGCATCAACGGCAAGTCCACCTGTTGGGAATCGTCAGTCCAAGTCGCCCGATATGTAACCCATCTAGAGCCAACTTACCGAAACCGTAGAAGAGATCGCTGCCCGAGGTCGGGGTAATGTCAGTCCAGTTGCCGGAAGCGAGGTCGTATCTGTAGACGCCACCCTGAGTGCCATCGTACGGGCCAGTACCATCAGAGTAGGTGAAGTAGATGACCTAAGATCTTGTTAGCAACACAGCATACTTATATAATCCAGGCGCGTATCCTCACCTTCTCGGCAACGGAAAGTCTGGCCTTGTGGGGGAAGAACTTGGCAGGCTGGTCGGCAACAGGGCTCCAGGTAGCGCCAGCGTCGGTGCTGACGTAGACAGAAGCGGTGGTGTTGTCGGCGGTACCGACAAAGATGCGGGAGGTAGCGCCGTCGACGGCCTCGGAGGTCTCGTCGAAGGTGACAAAGGTCAGACCCTGAAGGTCGCCGTTGTACGCATCGGTCTCAGCGCCGGGGCGGAAGGTACCGACGGCCTCAAAGGAAGAGACCTTGGAGAAGGTCGCGCCGCCGTCGGCGGACTTCCACAGGCCGTTGCCGCTCCGGGCGCCGAAGTAGAGGATCTGGGAGTTCTTGGGGTCGACGGCGAGACGCTCGCCGGTGCCGCGACCAGGCATGTTGCCGCCGACCTTGAAGGGGAGCGTGGTGACCTCCCAGGTCTCGCCCTTGTCAGAGCTGCGGGCAATGGTGCCATTGTTGGGGTCCCTAAGGACGATCTGTAAGCTTGCCATACGCAAAGCGCACATAGGGAGGAACAGTACCAGTCGTTGGTGTACATGCCCGCCGCGATGTACACATTATTTGCATCAGAAGGGTCAAGGGCCAATGCGTCGATGCCCCATCTGTTCCAGTTGTCATCGTGGGCGAAGCCGTTCGCGTCGGTCACGGGAGTCCACGAATCGTCGTCGTTGAGGCGGTAGAGACCACCGATGTCAGTGCGGGCGAAAGCGACCCCTTTCTCGGTCGGGTGGAACTGAATCGACGCGACGAAACCACCGCCGCCTCCGGTGTGGACGTTCTTCCAGTCGCACGCCGCGCGGACGGATGCCGCCGCCGCCAGGATGAGACCCACGCCTCTCATCTTGAGGGTTTCTGTAGTCTGGTCTGGTCACTCGAAGTCTCTAAAGAGTGTGTGAAATCTTGAATGGACCAGCCAGGTTGAAGCGAATGTCGTCGGTCGAAAAGCAGATCCGATGAAAGCGAACGTCGGTCAGAGCAAAGGACTGGACTGAACAGGTGAACTGGACGAAAAGCAGCTTCAATTGGGGGGCCTGTCTATTATTTACATTGGAGTATCCTCCACTCGCTCTCGGAGGGCATTCTCCTCCTGGTTAGTGGTATCTCCGATAGAGTCAGAGGTGCACAATTCTATGTCAGTCACGCCTTCAGGGGAAGAAACATCTCGGATAGACTGACATAGCGCCCCAGAAAACCTTAATGTCGCGAAAGGACCTGGTCAGGTTTCCGAGAGCCGAGGTGGGATTTTCGCGGGCCGCCCGCTGCAACCCATCAATCAGATGGGGCGCCAGCAGGCTGGGCGGGCCATCAGCCTGGAAATGTCCACCAGTGGAAGGGGAGCTTGGCCAGAAAGAAATGTGATGCGGCGATTAGCCTATGTGGAGTGAAGTCATGCCAACCCGGAGAGCGGATAAGGTTGAAAATATTAGCCAATTGCTCATGTGTTTGTGCTGACTGCTGTGTCAAATAAACATGAGCCCCCTGGAAATTGTGATTAAGGGGGGTTATGGGACGACTGAATAGAGTTAGCGAGTGCAAATCCCTGCATCTTTGGGCCCATCTCAGAGACGGAGTCAGCCAGGCTTGGCGGCCAGAAAGGGCAGAAACCTATCTGAGCTTCACGCCTACATGCACGACAAGTTGTGATTAGAAGGGGGCTCACCGTTCAATGACTTGCATTATTGGCCGGTTGTTTCACTTTCACCGGGGCCTATGCATTGGCCTGCTCAAAAGCTCAGTCTAAATGTGGCTGTTCGTGTCCCGCCGAGTTGTACTAAACCCGGCCGATTTGGCAACGCCGGCTGCTCCACGATGTCCGTGTAGGCACACATGGACCTTGGAAATCAAACCTTGAATCCTGGACCTTTTCTGGACACATGGACATTTACGAGCTTTCCCAAGCTGCTCTCTCAATTCAATTTTCAAATTGACCTTTCCCTGATTGATACACTCACCACAGTGCAGCCATTGGAGAGCTGATGTCGGAAATAGGGGGGGGGGGGGGTGGAAACCCGATAGTCTGACTTATACTACAAATCCGGAGGCTTACTTTAACGGTGCATCTGCATTTGATACCGAACTTGTTTCTATCAATAGTACTCCTGGGTTCCTTCGATCGTTTCCGGGCAGGCGAGGCCGATTTCTGGTCGAAAGACAAAACATTCATGTACTCGAACGTCGCCAATCCCCTTGATCATGCTGCCGCGACGACTCCGCCGTCACCTACTTCTCCCAGTGCCATGACGTGTGAGTTGACATGGGCCAAACGGAACGCATCTAGGTTCTAACGAACTCGATAGGAGCTGCGCTCGTGACAATTGCGCTAAAAAGTACTGCTGCGGTGGGCACAACTGGCCATTGTCACCGGGCAACTACAAACCCTCGACCTTGTGACCCATCAGACAAGGACACAAACTGACCCTGTGTAGTGTGGGGCTAAGGTTTGGCAAGCACTGGAGCATGCGCAGTTCCTTACATCTGCTTCATAATGATTTCTTAACTACGCACAGTACTTGTGATACATGGTAGTAGCGTGTTTACTCACGAGGAATTATGTGTATGAAGGGTTTGCTACATATAATATAAACTCATTCGCTCCCACGAATCATCAGAGTGTCTAAAGTCAGTTGACCTTAGCATCGCTATCCTTGTATGCCTCCAGTCTAAACAACCGCTTCGCATTCTCCCTGCCGATTTTGGACCTGTCCGCAATGCTCATCTCAGCATTATCAAACCAGGTACAAGCCGGCTCGAACTTCTCGAAAGGATAGTCCACCGAAAACAAAATCCTGTCCGACCCGACCTCGTTCATGCAGAAATTGAGCGTGGTGGAAGAAAAGTGGCCGCTCGTGGTGATCCAGATATTTTCGTTGAAGTATTCTCGAATCGTCCTTTTGCAGTCCAGCCCCAGCGGCTTCTTGACATCCTCAAACCAATGGTTGATTCTCCACAGGTCGAAGGGGATGTGCTCCCCGAGATGCCCCAAGATGATTTGCAGCTTCGGATGGCGGTCGAAAACCCCGTTCGTCACCATGCCCAGGACGTGTAAAGACACCCCGTGCGCAAACGATAGAGGTGGACCGACGAGCCATTGGCGGTCTTTCCAGAGTTTCTCATAGACGCTCCCTGTCGGGTTGCGAGGGTGGAGATAAAAGGGGACGTCGAGCTCGGTACAGGTCTGCCAGAAGACGTCCCACTCGGGCTTGTCGTAGAAGATCATGTCGTCCCCGTCCTTTCCCGCGCGTTGGGTGTCGTTTACCAGCGCGCCCTTGAAGCCATACTGGGTGACACAGCGGCGAAGCTCAGCAGCTGCCTCCTTGGGGTCATGCATTGAGAGAGTCCTTCGCGATTGGTTAGCAAAACAGCGCCGCGGATGTTATTTTAACGGTCCGCACTTACGTGAATGCACCCAGACGGTCCTCGTGTCCTTTAATTTGCCCGGCCACGTAGTCATTGATCTCGACAGCCAGGGCTTGGGCCTCCTTAGGATCGCTGACGTCTTGGACACCGGGGGCGGTATAGGAAAGGATTGTGTACCCGACTCCATGCTTGTCGGCCTGCTTGATGCGGATGTCTGTGAGGTCCATAATCTCCTGTAGGTGGCGATCTGGCTGGGGGCTGAAGAGACCGGCCCACCACCGGGCCTTCTCAGAGAAGCGGGGGAGGTCGAAAGCCTCCTCGAGAATGACCTTGCCGTGCATTGTGATTCAATGAGATGGAATATGCTTAGGTATGGTTTAGGTGTGTACGATGCCTGAAATCGTATCGAGTTAAGAGATTTGGGCTTGCTCTGCCCACAGCACTCGACTTTATAATATTCGATGTGTGTAGATCTCCCTCATCTCCGAGTCGCGAACCCGCGAGCGTCCCCCGTCTGAAACGTGGCCATACATAAAATGGTCTGGGTGCTGCCATCCTTTGGCTACGATTTGGCCTTCAGTACATGCACAATCCCCTATCCGCCCGACCTGGGCGGAAGCGGGCCGCGGTCTTCGTGTGGAGATGAGCACAGCGGGAGCTCAGAAATCTGGGGTAAAACGGCGGGGCCGTCTTCCCTCACCCGCTCACCCCCCTGGTCCCGAAGCGGCACGACCCCTACCATGCGGAGAGGACACACCCGACGCCATCGAAGTGAGGTCCAACCCGTAGCGAGTGGCATGCCACTGATTTTCATAATCCGGGGTAGTTGCATGCGCGAAAGCCCGAGACCCTTGTTGGTGAACGACAGTCTCCTGTGAGTGGTTTGTTGGACTTGCTGCCAACGGTAATTCCTCGGGCGATACCACATGACTACCTGACTGCTCAACTCCCTCGTCGCTTTGTCTCAAACTTTGTCTTCATCCATATATTCCCGATGGATGTATTTCTGACATAATCCTAGGCTGGTAACGATAAGTCCACTCCCTTGGTTACGCAAACTTTCGACAAGAAGACCAAGTACTTGGAGAACGACCCGGTCTTTGCTGTCAAAGATGACCTCGTGGATCATTAGCCGAATTTCGCAGTGGTGATATGTCCATTCGTGTGTTTTTCAGAAATCATTCGGATGTCCATGTTCCCGTGAGGCAAGCGGGCTCGGGCTAGACTACGCAGTGAAGGCGTGGCTTTGCAACCTTTCTAGTTGATCGACTGTCTTAAATTTTATATTGAGATCCGATTGCATATGACCTGGGCCAACACTAGGCCCTGCAACGATTCGTTCGCTAAGAGTACACGTATGAAGAAACAAACTAGACAAGGATACATGACGAGCTCTCACACATCTTCAAGCCTTCGCAGGATGGCTATGCACCCATTCATCCAAAATGCCGGCGAAATCAGGAGGTGTGTACGGCTCAACCAATTCCTTCACCCATGAAGTCTTCCGATTCGTCCTCAGCCCCATGTCTCTCATCAACATACTGGCATAAGGCAGTCCTTCAAATACGAAGTCCGGCAGACTTGCTCCGTAACCACAGGGGTACCGCCACTTTCCCCATTGAGTGTGCAGCATGATTTCCTGCGTGACCTCCTCTGGCGTCTTCGCGATTCTGTCCAGTTTACCGTCGAGGAACGCTGCGATCCAGGCCGCCTGGACCGTGGCGCAGACAGCGGTGCTGACCGTCGAGACCATGCCGGCGAAGGCGAGGTTCCTTGACTTCAGCATCGTCGAGGGTACGATAAAGCGGTAATACCGTAAAGGATCAGCCTCTTTGGGTTGAAAGCGTAGCCGAGGTTGGTCCTGGAGTCGCGGGAACATTTTTAGAACGTCGCTGTCGGCTTTGGCGTTCAGCTTGAGCCTATCTGCCTCAACAAGGGCTTGTGAAAGACCGAGACCAATGTCGTCGAGGCCGGTGAACTTGATGGATGACTCTTTCTTCCAGCCCGTGGAGCAGACCATACCATCCGCTTCTAGAATTTCTCCAGAGGATAGCACCACCTTGCCTGGCTCAAGATGGTCGATGTTGTCAATGTGTACCCGAATCTTGCCGTCTTTCACCAGGTCAAACAGGGGAGTGTCATAGTTCAGAATGCTCAGCCCGCTCCCGATCCAAAACGCCGAGTTCCACGGCTTCAGCTTGGCCAGTTCGGGATGCGAATCATAGCGGATGGCACCTAACACGTCGCCCTGCAAGACCTTCCAAAAACAGTCTACCAAAAGCCTGCCGACTCTCGTCCCGTGCAGGAAACTCGTGATCCCGGCGCCACCGCCCTCTGCGCCCCATGGACACGGGCTGAACCACGTCAGACACCGCGTGTTGAGCAGCGTGTCCAGCCTGCGCTTCAGCGGCGTGACGAACCGCGGCGCGATCCACACGGGGCCATGCCCGTTCGGCCGGATGATTAGGTTCACCGTTGCGCCGCCCTGCACGAGCGCGTAGGCGACGTCGTACGCGGACTTGGCGCCGCCGACGACGACGGCCTTCTCGGCGGACTTGAATTCCGAAGCGCGGCGGCAGAAGTCCTTGGCGTGGAAAAGAGGTCTGTCGAAGGACTCGGCCCCGGCGTATTGGGGAAAGTTGGGCGTGGAGGTGAGGCCGGTGGCGAGAATGAGCTTGTTGGTGGTGATGTGGCGCTGGGTATTCTCGGGGGCAGTGGTGACGACCGTGAGTCTCCAGCCCGTGATATCACCGGATTCAGACTCAGGTGAGCGCAGGGCCTCGACATTGTCAACCTTGGTGTGGAACTGAACGCGCCCCAGCACACCGTACTTCCTCGCGAAGTCCGTCAGGTAGCGGTGGAGCACGGCGCCGGGGATGTGGCCGCCCTCCTTGACGCCATAGACGTCCTCGGACATGGGGAAATCGGGGTACTCGTACGATCCCACCATGTTGTTGGACTTGAGTCCGGGGTAGAGGCGGGCTTCTGACCAGGTGCCTCCGCAGCTCTCGGCTGACTCCAGCACGGCGATGCGCTCATCCGCATGAGTCTCTAAGTAGGCCCTGGCGGCTGCCAAGCCGAACCAGCCTGGGAGTTTTTGTTAGGATCGAGGCGAGCAGTATGGAGGACAAGGCGGCATACCGGCTCCGACCACCACCATGTCATAATCACAAGTCCGCTCGGCCATGCTGAGATTTGCAGGCGATGAGACCCAATTTGTTTTGTTGGCTAAGGATGGAGGAAAACTTGCAGTAATTCTGCCTGATCAATGATGAGCACAGTGAAGTAATTCGAAGAGAAATCGCGAGTGCTGTTCTAGTCCATCTTTGTCGCCTTTATGGTTAACACTGTCCTCAATCCGGCTGGCGGCTACTGCGCCGCTGAACATCACTATCAGGCCCATAACCGACGTGCCTATCTGGTACCATACCATCAAGATGATAATCAATGCTGTCGACGCGCCTCCATGCAACCTCTAGTGCGCCCCTAAATTAGAGTTCGCCTTATCTCTCCGGCGCTGCGGTGTGGTCGCGTGTCTAGGCTGGCGACCTGAAGGCAAGGATCCTAGACTAGTTCATTGCGGGGTGCATGGAGTGTCGAGATAACCGGAGGTCGATCGTTGGGATGTCTCTATCTTGTCGGCTATTGCACCCGGGAAGAGGAAGCATATCCCTGGGCACTAGTATGTCGTGGCGGATAGAGCTCAGACAGGGGCTGCCCTTGACCCATTGGGGAAAAAGGGTAACCTAGGCGTATAGCGGAGCTCGCTGTCGTTCCGGTGCTCCTTCTTCGTGATGTAGCGGTTTCCGTGAAGGTCATTATCAGTTGGCTCCTGTACCATCTTACTCGTAATTTGGTCGCTACTAGCAAAGAAGCAGCCCAAGATAACCCTAAGTAACAGTTATTGCGGCGTAAGCATATGCGATGACTCGGAATGGACGAAGAGACCTGAGATACAGATTTCTTTCGCATTTGAGCCTTCCGATCCGATCTTCCATATTTGTGGCACCTAACTTTGACGACAGCGTACAACTCCCGATTAGTGCCTCAAAGTAGTGTTGCACTGCCAGAGACCAGAGCCTCATAGTCACAGCTGATGCCAGAAAATGCCTGAGAGACATGCATTGATACCGCCTGGCCACTGATATGACATCATGCCTTCATATGGCTGAGGACAGAACATGCTTAGCCATAACACACGGTAGCTTCACGAAAAGCACTTGTTTGGTTGCCACTGGGGGAGGAATCCTGTCAGAAAGAACTATCCAATAAAGTGTTGAGTCAGGACCATAATGCCCCGAACTTACTCTTACCCTACATACTCATGGTGAAAAAGGAAAGAGCTTAGGAATACACCGATGAATAAACAGACTAAAATATATCCGTTGTAGTATATAGCTAGTTTGATAATAGAGAAAAGTATGAGCTATCTATATACATTTTTCATAAGCTCTACTTGGTTTACAAGTCTGACGAGCTAAATCGCTTTCAGCCATGCCAGAATCAAGAAAGTGAGGGCTATGTGTCAAGAGCAGAAGTCAAGGGATAGAGTGCAGCATGATGAAGTAAGCATTAACAAACTGGAATATACAGCAAAGTATGAACTGCCTGCTGAAGACCAGTAGGGCAGAAACAGTTCAGCGCCCGACGCCATGTCATGAATTGTTCTTCAAGAACACAGACTGAGGACGAATCCTCTTCTGCCCAGCTGTACAATACAGCAATGCCAAACATTTCTCCGTGGTAATAGGGGTTACCAGCCATACTTTCCACTGTACCGTTTCGAAGAACAAAGATTGGTATAGACACTAAACTCTTCATCGTACTTGGCGCGATGTAAATCATGTTCCGATATGTTGTGGCATTTGACGTTTCACGAGAGGCATAGCTGTGGACCGAGACAAGTGTTTCCGTGCTAAAGGCTCATAGCAAAGGCTGATAATCATTTGACTAGGTAAACCTGCTGGGCATCCACGCCCTCAGTGCCTAGGTGCTATCCCTTGGTGTGATCCAGGCATGTCCAGACTAGGAATAGTAGTACTCCTGGGTGACATTGCCGCCATCATGCTGTCAATTCGGAAGCTGACAGCGCTGGCATCGAACACCTGCCTGCACAATCCGATCGTCGAGTGGGGTGATAGTCCCACAAGCTCCATGCACACCATTGGCAGCCGTGCACGTAACTCGATCCGTACTGTGTCCATCCACGTGGCCGCAAGTCCCCATTCTGATTACTTCCCTGATGGTGCACATCGTTGCTAAGAATGAAACAGTTAACACTCTATTCAAGTCAGGCCATGATGCGTTTCGAACAAGGACACTATTGGAATGTGCTGGGATTAGGTGGTGCTGACGGAGATACTCTTGTCTGTGTTTCCAGGTGTGTGTCGTAGATGGGGCTGTTGAGTTTGATTCGGGTGGCGAAGATTCTGAAGGCGCTGTTTGTGTCTTATGGAGTTGTCTTTTCAAGAGCGTCTTGTTTTGTGTTGCTCTGGATTCCCTTGTTGATGGAGATGGTAAGGAAAGGAAGAAGGGCTTCCGAGTTGAATCAAGCGCGCAATTTACATGACTTCAGAGAGTATGAATCACCACGCTCTCTTCTAAGACATGATTGAGACTCATTAGATGCTTGGATCAGACTAACCGTCTAAGATCCCGGTGACAAGGGCCAATTTCTGAATAGAGAGTAGCATGAACTCAACAGACAAAATGCTGCTGGCCTTACGCATTGGTGTGACTATTACAACACAAGAATGTTAATCCTTGAGCCAAAGCAAGGACTTTCAGCAACAGTTGTGATTTACGTTTTCCAGTGAGTGTAAAAATCAGGTTCATAACTTGTGCCTAGTTCAGCTCAATTTTGCTGTATAATCACAATTTCTGTGACGAATGGACGGAGTACTTGAACCAAAGGGAGCCGTGAATATATTTCGCGTCATGGCAGGCTATGATCGAACAGAGTGGCAAAGAACCAACGCTAGGCACATGCATCTGAGTAGCTTTCTCCCCCACTCATGGTTTACCAGAAGAGCTGAATCGTATGTCTTCTTTAGTCAGGCTTATGCCTGATCTGCTTTGAGGAGCATTAAAGCCATAACCAAGGATGATCTCTCAACTTGCTATCACGGCAAGATTCGAATAAACACCCTCCCGCGTAACCTTGCGCATCTTTTCATCAACACCGAGGCTTTTCTGGTATTTAGAACTGCGGCATCATCCTTTTTGAACCGATTTGAGATTCGAATTTGCGTCATCCTCCTGGGATACGGCCTGGAAACGGAGAAGAGAAGTTTCTGTCAGATCCCCCGGTCGCTCAAACGGCCTCTTGGAGGACTTCGTGGGTTCTGGACTGGAAATCTTGATCTGGCGTGGTCTCCGCAGCCAGAACAGTTCCCATAGATTCAGTTCGTGTGTCTTCCACGCGAGCACCACAGGTCACTCCGCCAATGCCGCCTTCAATGGAGCTAAATTTGGCCCTGGGGGTGATTCAACCAAGAGCCCCGGTAAGCGGTATCCCGTGCCACCGATTCCGGTAGTGGGAAGATAGCCTGTGACAATCTCAAGTGGGTCTTCTCGTGTGGTCAGGTTTAGCTGACGTGTTTTTAAGACCACCCTTGAGTTTTCGAGAAACTTATCAAATAGAGCTTCTTTCGAACTCGGCCGTAGGCTTGGTAGTCAGGCATATGGAACCTCCGACCTCATATATTCTTAGAAACAATCGTCAATTATCTAGATGGTTTGGGTCATCTGTACTATGTGCCGGACCAGACACCAGGTAAAACTCAAAAATCTGCCTTGACAGATTCATGTCCGGAAGTATTCTGAATACTGAGCTGGGGAGAGCCCTTGAGGCATCACTGATAGATGTACAAGCTTGAGAATGTAATCAGGATAATGTACTACTCGTAGCTTATGACCCCGTCGATGGTTCCAGCGTGCAATCCGCCAGTGATCTGAATGTCCGCTGCCGTCGTGTGCCTACTCGCATCGCTCAGCAGATATACCACCGCCCCCGTGAGATCATTCTGCGTGCTGAGCCTCTGCAGTGGGGGAGCCAACCACATCTGGTCACCTTCTCTCTTGCTCTTCATATCCCGCACGTTCCTCGTCATTTCACTATCCACGAAGCCGGGGGAGATAGTGTTCACACGGATGTTATGTGGGGCAAGCTCAACGGCCAGCGCTTTAGATAGCATCAGTATGCCACCCTTGCTGGCGTTATATGCTGCCATGCGACTAGTTGCTTGTCAGCATGATATGTTACCTCTTCGGCAAAGGAGATAAACATAAAGAAGCGGACTGCACGAGAATGTCTCTGGCGTTTTGACGCGTCATGATAGCGCAGGACCGCCCAAACTGACTAATAAGACTTTCCACTGTGAGACTTACTAGCCGGGGAGCGCAATGTGGCTTGACTGCGAGGCGATGAGGACGATGCTGCCGCCTTTCCCTTGCGACAAAAATTGCTTTGTAGCCAGTTGAGCCGCGAAAAACGTCCCCCTGACCTGAGCTTGGTATTAGCGAAGATTCACTCAAGGCAACGAAGGAGACACTCACATTGATCTCCTGTATCCTGGTAAACTCCTCCCACGTCTGCTCAATGAACGGCTTGTCAATGGCAATGCCTGCCGCAGGTACCAATCCATCAATAGAGCCCAGCTCTTGGACAGCTCTGGCAAACGAAGCGTTCAGACTGTCCTGTTTCGTGACGTCTGTCTGTATGTAGACTTGTTTTGCGCCAAATTTCTGGCTGAGGCTGTTCCACTCTTTCTCATCGACTGGCTTGTCCTGAATGTCCATCACGGCCACATTCCCGCCCATCTCACATATGGCTCGCGTTACTGCGAAGCCAAATCCCTTGCGCGCCCCCGGTCACGACGTAATTGCGCCCGCGCAGTTCGAACATAGGACGAACATCTTCAATAGGGTAAGACATTTCCACAAATTGTTCTCTGGTATCCAAACGGAGGGATTGTAGTTTTGAAACCTTCAAGCGGGATTTCTTGGTTGTGGCAGCTGTTATTCAATAGTTGTATTTGGTCAACATCAAATACTCGAACTCTCAGGAGAACCTGAAGGGAGGGGTACGAGTTTTTTGCCCAGCGCCAGGGATGGCATCGGCGGGTAATGCACCCATGGCTCAAACCACATCGGGGATGGGGACGCTTAGCACTTTGCCGCCAACACCAACGCCGGAACGCCCGTAGCTCCTAGCCCGTCTCCGCACAGATAAGCGGTCGGCCAATTGCCGATTTCATAAACGGCAGAGTCCATAGGGGAAGCAGTATTCAACAACAAAAATACAAAATATCGAATAAGATTGCATGCCAGAATCAATACTGAGGAACACTGCCTTTCGATCAATACTCATCGGAATACCTGAAAGAGTTGCATCACCATGTTCAACGATATCAGCAAGCCTCCTCCTCCACTGCCGAGCCCGGAGCCCACAGAGGTCATGCCCGGCGTGACTCTCCTCCGGCCTCTGAGTCGCCGCGGCACTGGTCCCGGGATGATTATCCTAACACACGAATACAAGGACTCGTTGGCCATCAAAGGGGGCGTGCCATCACCGTTGGTCAAATGGGCAGAGGAAGGATATGCTGTCATTGAGATCCAGGCCACAGCACTCGGCACTGGTGAGGAACATATTATCAAATCTGCTCTCAAGGCCCTCAGAGATTGTGACAAATGCGAACCAAATGACAAGGTTGGGCTGGTTGGTCAGTATTCCCCCTTCTCAACAACATTATGGACAAAGTTCGCCAAGTCTGACAAGCATACAAAGCCTACGAGCCCGAACTTTGGAATACAGTGGCATCAACACTTTCAAACCACCCTTGCATCGTTGCGGCGGCCGTGTATGCAGACGCACCTGATGAGACTCCATCCAAGTCTCTTGCTGGTGTATCGATCCCAGTAATACACCACCTCGCTGGCAAAGGCCCGGCGGTACCGCCGAAGTCAGATGTCTTGAAGAAGGAGTACTTCTACCCTAATACTAACTCGTATAAATTTGCTACCCCTTTCCAAGCCTCTTTCCACTATAATACCGAGAGCATCTCTCATACTCGAAACCTTACTCTCTTGAAAGAGAAGATGGGGGGTCCATATTTCGATTTGGAGACTATCTGGGAAGAGCATACTTATTATGAGTTTGCGGACCGGTCCATGGAACATACCATGAGTACTATGGTCCAAGAGCCATACGTGAACCACGTACCTACAGTGAGTTAATACGTTGGGCTTAAGAGAGAAAAATGTCGGCGAGAGGAAACTAACCATGGTATCTCAGATGACCGGCGGCATTGGCCGCGAGGCCCTATCTCATTTCTACCAACACAACTTTATCTTCAACAATTCTGCGGATACCGAGTTAGAATTGATTAGCCGAACCAAAGGAATTGACCGCATCATTGATGAGTTCATTTTCAAGTTCACCCACGACCAAATGATCGATTGGATGTATGTTGCCGCTTTTCTCGCTACTTATCCTGCTTCAAGCTCACAGATCCTCGACTGACTTCTTGGCAGGCTACCTGGCGTGCCTCCCACGAACAAGAAAGTTGAGATTCCTTTCACAGCCGTAGTTAATATCCGTGGTGATCGGCTATACCATGAACATATAGGTTGGGACCAGAGCAGCGTCTTGCGACAGCTTGGCCTCTTGCCCGAGTACCTTCCTTTCCCATATCCCCTGCCAGAGGAAATGGGGGCAGCTGCAGGCAAAAATTTTGAGTACCGCCTACCGGTAGCAGGCATTGAGACTGCACACAAGATGAGGGATAGAAATGCTGGCCTATCGAACGAAATGTTCAAGTTCAAGGTTCGCAAGGTATGAGTTGTCTAGTTGGAGTCTTTCATCTACGTATGTTATTATTATGTACTCGCGACATTCAAATTATTACAGTCGTCGGGCAAAAGCGTTTATTTATCAATTGAGCATCAGCAAAGCATTTGAATTTCCAATGAACGGGCTCGAAGAGATTGTTGACGTCAAATTCAAAATTGATCTGATCCTCAGGCATGTAATGATCAAGCTGGCCAGCCGAATAGGTACATATTTCAGACGGCAGTGTTCCCCGGAGCACCAACTTGCTGTAAAGGATCATCAAAACTCATCGTGTATCCGTCCCAAAGAATTCGCAGCATCAGCTCATTGTCTGCCGGTGATGACCACTGGTCTGGTAGGAACTCAGACATAGTAATGCTGAGGGAGTCACTTCCATCCCAGAGCCCCACCTCGCCGGTAGGGTTGTCGTCCGCATTGAAGTCCGGCGTTGGGAGCTGCGACAGACCCGTGCCTCCGCCAAGGGGAATTTTTGGCTGGCCCTGCCCCGTATCAACACCAGTTGCGCTCGTTTCGTTGTATCCGTCGGAGACTCCATTGTCCAGTCTCTGTGCACTCGCAGCAGACGCAAAATCATAGGACAATATCTGCTCGACATAAGGGACTCCCGACCCGTTCCGTTCCCGCCGAATTTGTCGCTTATAGTTGTCGATAGCGTCGGAAAAAGCAGAGAGGATCCTGTGGTACTGCCGTGCCTGCGCGCTGAGCCGACCGAGGATAGAGAGGACGTGCTGGGACCCACGGAACGCCTCTCGGGCCCCGGTATCAGAGGAATCATCCACTAACAAGGCGAATCCCAGCACCAAGCCTGCTGCGAATATCCATGCTTTGATAATACACATGTTGCCCATGAAGACGCCGGCATCGACGGCTTCCCGGCACATCTGAGCCATGTAGGTTGCAGCCCCAATGCAGGAACGAGAGAGTTCGGCCACAGCGTCCGCTCCCTTGGCCCCTTTTTGATTATTCTGGCGTTGGCCCTCCTTGGCTTTGGATGCGTGGCCATGCAACTGCGGCATGACATGCTGGATAAGGAATTGCCTTGTGACGAGTATGATACCAAAGTAGTACGTCCCTGCCACATGGACGTTCGCAATCATCTTCTCTCGGTAACCTGGAGCATCATGTAAAGATTTGTCCCCTTTCTGCGGCCGCTGGCGAAGGGATACTGGTAGTACCTGGCTCCACTCTTGTAAAAGCTGGAGGAAGTGCTCGGCTGAGGAGGACTCCAGAACTCCGTCATCGGCAAATTTGCCAACCACGGTCTCAAGAATTGAACACGATTCGTAAGTGGCTCTGAGAGCCAGGGCCCGGTGACAACTGATGTTGCCTTCCTGATCGATATCACCAGAAGTGACATCTACAGACCTCAGGGATGAAGCACTACCTCGTCTTCCTAAGATTGAAGAGCATATGATGTCGAAAACTCTGATACTCTTGGCCACCCTGAGTCTGTGAAGTTGAGGAAGTCAGATTTATTTTAAAGTCTAAATGATGAATTAAATAGAAAACGACTAACCTGGAATCTTGTTCAGCTTTTGAAGTGTGCTTGTGTTTGGCCGCGGCGTGAAGCCCAAGGATGTCGGCAGACTTCGCGGCAACGCCCAGGTACATGAATGCCGAGTTTCGACGGCAGGCCCCGAACATATAGAATGCGAGCAGGATAAATGCCCTGGCCAGGTTTATAGTCGGATCTTCCAGCATTTTCTCGAAGGCAATCAGTCTGCCCTGATTGAAATATTTGGAAGCAAGCACGAGGTCGTCCCTCGAGCCCCCTCTGACCTGGCACCCGATTGCGAGCATGAGGTACAGCGAAGCAAGGGCTGCCCTGTCTATTGGTCGTGAAGCTGGTGATTTGTTGGCGTTTTGGTCCTCTGTGGCCAGGCTAATAAGCTCGGTAAGCTCGTCTTGAGTGTACAGGTCCAGGAACCCGCTCGACTGCAAATCTCTTAGCTGACAAAAGACTATTCGACGGAGCACATGACCTACGGCATCCAGAAAGCAGTGAACGAGATCATTCTTTTCGGTTTCACCCAAGCCATCGTAGAAAGTTCCACCATCGACATCCGATCCAGTCATCTCAAACCAGTTATGACTGTGTTGGCGGTCGGTGAAACCGGACGGTCCAACATAATGTTTCAGTGTCTTTTGTAAAAACCGTAAGAATGAGAGTGCCGCTGTGTTACCGACGAAGACTAGTTTTGCCAGGAAGGTCAACTTGGGATTTGTAAATGGCAGGGCCATTTCATCGTAGGTAGGGTAATCAGAGACAACAAGTTTTGTTTAAATATTAAATCCAGGGATTTTTTAATACCTTTATCACCACTCGAACTATTCAGCATCAAAGGCCGCTGCTGGCTTGTTCTTTCAACAGAATTTCTGGAGTCCGGAAGGTAGTCGGTTTCACTGTCTGCATCTTCGTCTACTACATCGTCGACTTCCGCGTCCTCTGACGGAAGAGGCTGGTCGCCAAACTGAGCTCTCGGCCGCTGAGATGGTGTGGTGATTACTGATCTGAAATCCGCCTGAGAGACATCGGTGGCAACAGCAATGGAGTTTGCACGGGACGACTTCGATTCAGAGTGCCGACTGCTCCTGTCCCTGGCCGTCGGCGTGTACGTGCACGTGTCCTGGGTCCCTTTCTTGAGACACAGTCGGCAGGGCACATTGGCGTCACATCTCTTCTTGGAGGCCTTGCAGGCATCACACGCTCTGGCTGAGCGCTGTCTGTCCTGCGGCTTGACCTTCGGTCGTGGCATGGCTGGAGTCGGCGACGCGTCGCTGCACGCGGCGGAACGGAGATCGCGGAGGCTTGCCGGCGCAGAGGACCCACACGCGAACAGGCCGAAGCGGAGCCGGGCTTGAGTGGGCTCTCGGTAGGCGTCTCGTACGATGTACGGCATGAAAACGTAAGGTTGCCGCAGCGGAAATGTGTCGCTTCTTTCCCTTCAATAGTCGGCTAGTGTTGTTGAAATGAAGCGGGACGTGGATCCCAAGGACAAGGGGCTTCAGCCGAAGCGGGAGCGGGAAGAGACAAGTTTGCCCGTTGCCGACTACTGCGGCAATTCGCCTGCTCCAATTTTGTTGCGGGAGCGTGTATCCACCTGGTTATTTGAGTGCACTATCCGCATGGCTGAAACTCCTAAGCGGTAGACTAGTTTTCGAGCAACCGCGCCAGGAGGGCGGGGGTATTGATCGGCGAACTAATAACATCCGAAAGATAGAAGCAGCACCATGTCGTTATCCGCATTGAAAGGGTCGGGAGACTTTGGACGTCGTTATAATGGAGACCGAAATCATCACGACAGTCCACCGCATTTTGTATCGACTGACACAGCCCACGTTAAACCTGGCGGGCCCTGAATATAACACTACTCTACATTTTTACCAAACAACAGCGTCTCGTTAACTCTTATCGCACTTTCATACCATTTGCCACTATACAGACCAAGTCAATACGAAAATGGGCTCTCAATCAGACCCAAACCTTGCGTGGCGCCAACTCAATGTGGGTGTTGTCGGCGGCGGCATCGGCGGCATGTCTGTTGCTATTGCTCTTCGTCGTGCTGGACACAGTGTGACCATCTACGAGCGAAACGACTTCGTTGGAGAGGCCGGAGCATCAGTATCCTGCGCTGCAAATGGAGCACGTTGGCTTCACGAGTGGGGCGTCGACGTCGAGCAAGGCGACCCCGTCGTCCTCAAGAAGCTCATCAACAGGAGCTGGAAGACGGGGGAGCCGGTCAGCGTCTATAACCTGGATGACTACAAGGAGAGATGGGGATACCATTATTACATGTTCCACCGTCAATACATGCATGAGATGTTGAAGAATTGTGCCTTGCAGGAGGAGGGAGAAGGAGAGCCAGCCAAGTTGTGTGTGAACCACAAGGCAAGTCACAGAAAGATTTTTGTGATTACGAGGCTCGGGCTGACTTTCAAATTCAGTGCGAGAATATTGACCCCAAGGCCGGCCTCGTCACCTTCACAAACGCCACACAGCTCGACACGACCTCATCATCGGCGCCGACGGCATAGGTTCGGTAGTGCGCAGGCTCATCGGCCTCACCCCAGATAAAAAGCCGGCAGACTCTTCCTGCCTCCATGCCAACGTGCGGACAGAAGACGCTGTCCGTCTGGGCCTCGTTGACTATTCAAAGGATGCGGCTCTAGAGTACTGGGGTGGCCAAGAGGGCAAGTGGGACAAGATTGTGCTTAGCCCATGCAACGGTGGCAAGTTGTTGTCCTACTACTGCTTCTTCCCACGTGAAGCTGGCGACTACACGAGCCACAGCTGGGGCGGAGAGGACAGGCCGGTCGAAGAGCTGCTAGCCCCGTATCCGCAGCTGGACAAGCAAGTTAGGGATCACCTCGCCATCGGCACTGAGATTCAGCCGTGGCGGTTGTGGGTACAGTAAGTATTCGATCTCACGAGCGCTCTAGGTTCACATGCTTATCCTCGAACCTTTAGCCAACCATATCCTTACATCGTCAAGGATACAGCATGCTTGCTTGGTGATGCGGGCCACCCGGTACGCCTCAACCTTTACCACCCTGACATGCCTTTGGACACCGAGCTGACTTGATCATCAAGATGTTCCCTCATCAGAGCCAAGGTGCCTGTATGGCAATCGAAGATGCTGCGGCGCTGGGCATATTGTTCAGCAAACCTTACTTCAGCGGCGACGTCACTGAGGCCCTGGAGGTGTATCAGAAGATCCGACTGCCGCGAGCTACCAAGGTTCAAGCCTCTGCAGCAAAAGCTGCGCTTAATATCAACGAAAGAATCGGTACGTCTGAGGTGTCTTAGCACTTGGAGACTTCTGCTCCTTTAGACTGACCAAAGTGTTCAGGGTTCTCCAGTAACACCAATATCAAAGGGTACAAGGTTGCAGATGAGAAGCAAAAGTTAACGATTGAAGAAATGAATGCGTAAGTCCTAGGTGCAACGCTGAAGTAGTATTGACATGTAGAAAGGCTGCTGACTTCTCGTTGTAGATATGATATGTACAAGGATATCGACGAGAGTCTGGCCGAACAAAGGCACATATCATACACTGGCAATTACGTCAAAGGGCTGCCAGTCGGTTTGGAGATGTCAAACGGCGTTATAGTTGGGAAGGAATGAGAATGATGGGAGAAGTCCAGACGCACAACTCAGACGTATATCGACCTATGGAGATACTTTGGGCATGTTTCAATATTATCTAGGTAGCTTTGGCGTTTAAGAAGCCCATACAAATCCGTAAGCGACGTACTGAATATGATAGTGTAGTCACTATCTAAATACCTTCGTCCTACTTGATGCCTTCTATCCGCTATGTCTTCAATGTCACATAAACCTTCGCAACCTCCTGAACAGACCCACGAAACTTACGCCTGACCTCCTCGTCCTCATCCTCACCACAGTGGAACCTAGCCACGACCTCGCCCCGAAACGGCTCGGGCGGGCGACTCCACACGCGGCACACAGAATCGTGGAGGCACTGGATCTGGATGCCGCGGAACCCCTCCGCCGCCGCCTTGCGCATCATGTGCCGCGCGAGGACCCCCATGAACCCTTTCCCCTCCTCGCCCGCCCTCGTCGCCGTCGAGTTCCGGAACAGCACCTGCCCCGGCCCCGTGGCCTCCCAGCTCGCGGGGTCCCGCTTGTCGCGCTCCGCCAGGATCCGGCTGCGCTCGCCCAGCAGCGGCATCACCTCTAGCAGCGGGCTCAGCCGTGCCACGTCGAGAACGTCGTGGCTGTCGTAGGCCATCGCTACGGATACGAGCGGGAAGTCCATCTGTTCGAGGAGCTTGTGCTCGTCGGCGGTGCGGTCGTCCAGGTCCCAGTGTAGCTTCCCGCCCGGCGATGCCGAGTCCTGGCGCTTGAAGGTGTATTCCTTGTCGAATATACCGAGGGAGAGGCCGGAGCTGATCGCGTGGTCGATCAGATGGCCGCCTAGTCTGAACAGGTTGTAGCACAGTGCTGTTTTGTCCTCGGTGTATATCCTCGACCAGACTGGCGAGGCGAAGGCGTTGCCGTGCATGACGAGCGCGTTGGCCCAGTCTGAATGCTCTGGGCCAAGGGTGCGGATCTCGTAACGGGGTGGAAGACTAGGTTCGACCGCCATGTTGTATTTCGATGCACCTGCTCAGTCTCCCATGAACCAAGTCGATGGCTCGAAAGACAAGTGGACACTGGCCCGAGAGGTCATTGTCAGTAATACTTACAACCCGCTAGGCAAATACCACGGCGCAATGTGAGATTGTGGTTGAGCAGCTGACGCGTGTGCGCGCCACTGGCATGCATTGCCGCCATAATTCATCATCCGCGTGATGCTGCCGCTTTAGCCGACTGGCCAGATACCTACGTAAGCCCTCACCGTCACGTCGGGCAACCCACAGTATGCAGTCAGCAGCGGATTACTACCGTAGCTGTATCCCCTGACCTTGCTGTCCGCCAGCGTCTGCAGCATGCCCATATGGACCGAATGGCAAGCTGTTGGATAAACAAAGCGAGCTAGGACGTGAAATCAAGATGACAGAAAGACCATGACTGAACATACTCTACGAGCACTGCATGAAGTCGAGGCCGCGTGGTTGTTGACTACAGTCACTGCCAATTCTCTTTGCCTCCATCGTAGGACCACACGACGCCTTTGTAGCCGCGGTGCCGCTGGAGACGCAATTTCACAGTCTTATTGTGCCAATATACCCAAGCTATGAACAAGACTTGCAGCCTGATCAGTATGGTGGTCCATTTTTCCAGCGAATTAGCCCACAGTCGGGGAACTTCCTCATGAGAATGGCGTTCAGTTCATGCATGGGCCGCTGCTCCATCGCAGAGTGAGCACAGTGATCGGTGTGAACCCACTGTGACAGGTACGAGTCGAGTGTATTCAGGCCTCTCCTGGCCACGGCTGTGAAAAACCGGCGGCTCATCTCGGCGCAGTGGCGCTGGTGAACTGCGAGTTGAGAGCAGGTGTTAAAACATATCTTCAGGCATCAAAGTGTCCACAACTTGAAGGGCTGAACTCACATTCCCACTCGACGAGGACCCACTCATGCTCTCCCTTGGCCACCTCGTCCCAGCTGACCTCCTCCGTTCGGTTTGGCTGCATGTAGAATCTCCAGTTCGTCCACTTCTTGAAGTTCTCCTCTGTCTCCTCGTCGTAGCACTCCTCGGGGAGCCATGCGCCGTACAGCATACCATAACGACAGCCGGCGGCTCTGGCCTCGGCCGCGCTGCTGCCACAGGGGTTTACTTGCGTAAACTCTGCGCCTGGGTCCTTGTATTCAGAGGGCTTTACTCCCTCGAAGCCGTACTGGATGTGTGTACTGTCCGCCGTCTGGCACGAGCTGTCACTGTGCCCTCCGTGACTGTGCTGCCCAGCCATGCCATCACTTGTCACGTTGGCACGAGAACTGCCCCAAAGTGTGATTCCAAACCAGTTCAGGAGGAAGGCTAGCAAGCCGGCGTGTAGTATCAAGACACACAACAAGAGAATTGATTTCAGGACAAAGTGCAAGCGCCTCTGCGCGGGTCGCCTTCTTTCAAATCCAGGTATCTTCTCATCATGAGACAACAATGATCGAGACCCGTCATCAGCACTGAAAGACCTCCGACCCACTGGTGAGTACTCATCTCTGCTCGCCATCTTGTGAGTCTTGTGCAAGAGATGGATAGGTGTCAAAGTGGAGTAGAGGAAGAAAAAGGCACGGGGGAGTTGGAAAAAGAGCAGGCAAGAGGCAGTCGGAGTGTGAGAAAAAGACCGTGTCTGGAGTAGAAGGATCTTAAAACATAGACATCCAATGATATTATATCAACATCTACCGAAGCAGCTACACCGAGTTTGTAGTCGAGGGACTGCCGTGGCTATCTTTCTTCCCCACGGGGTTTTGAACGGATTCAAAAGGACTGCGCATATGCATTAGTGATTCCTCGGGGATCCATGTCACGGACAGAAAACAACCCCAATTGGCTCTACGTTTCGACCAGATGTGAGACACGCGGGGAAGAGGATTCGTGAGTATGGTCACGATAGGCTCGGATATGTCGGTAACGAATTAGGTAGTGACAGGTCTTGCGCTGACAGGTCCGAGGCTCTCCACCAGCCGTTGGCCAAGACATGTAAGCAGTAGCAATTATCTAGTCACTCCTGTGTGACGATGCCTATGCACAAGGTCCCATCACACAAACACCATCGCGTGCGGTTCTGGAGGATGAAGATTGAGCGGTGTGACGATTCATTGTCCTGTCACACTGTCGCCTGCCTCACCATGAGTTGATAGCCAGCACGGAGGTGATGAATTGTGCATATTCAGTCAGCTGATGGTCTCGGAGGATGAAGCATTAAATCCTTCAGGAATTGGCACATGTAGCTAGCAAGACCTTCACCAGATTGCGTTTCATGAGGGGGAAACAACTTCGCAGGCTGTAATTCGTTGATATCGAGTCAATTGATACATGAATGAGTGAACACCTCAATCCTGGGAACACAGGCAGTAAGCGCTACATCTAGTTGCAGCCACAGAAGCTATCGTGGTACAAGTAGAGCGCGGATGTTTCGGGTGTACAACTGTCCATGGATTCGTGGGAATACAGCACGCCAAGCGAATGCTTCAAGAGCAAGGCGGACGTGGGGGTCGGGTTCCGAGAGGCAAGATGTAGGGGTCGTGACAATTTCCATAACGTGATGGCATTGGATGCACCCGGTCCTGTAGACTTAAAGAAGACGCCTTGCTTCCCCGTATACCGTGAACTCTTGACTTCGCCGCGATTTGGAACACGAATAGCCTACAATTATTCACTAAACACAAGATCCAAGCCCTAGTTCCGTCATCATGAAGACTTCTCTCACTTCCTTTGTGGCCACTCTTATGATCGCAACAGCGGTAGCTCTTCCAGTTGCTCATGATGAGGTAAAGGCCGTCGTCGGTATCAGGCGTGAGGAGGTTGAGCCTTTTGCGCAGATCAAGCGTGACGACGAAGTCGAGCCTTTTGCTCAGATTAAGCGAGAGGACGACGTTGAGCCTTTTTCTCAGATCAAGCGGGACGACGATGTTGAGCCTTTTGCTCAGATCAAGCGGGACGACGATGTTGAGCCCTTTGCACAGATCAAGCGCGATGACGAGGTCGAACCCTTTGCGCAAATAAAGCGTGATGATGATGTCGAGCCCTTTGCTCAAATCAAGCGTGAGGAAGTTGAGCCCTTTGCGCAGATCTAGCTCCAGTAAGCAGTGTCTTTAGCACGTCATTACAAAGTCCACCTTATATCCACACTTTCCTGAGCATTTACGTTCCGAGCTAACTCTTCAAAGTCAGACATCAAGGCCCGCGATCATCTCCGCGACTCAAACTTTCGTTCAGACCAGAGTCATTTCATAGGATGGGTGTCTGACGTTTGGAATCTGGGGAGGCAACTCACCTGAGCAATATTGAAGACTTGCGGCCAGCTGGGAATGGAGTCATGATGGAAGAGTCAGGATCCAAGAATATCAGTTATTTCCCGAACAACACACTCGCTTCCTATCAGTCTAGTTTCCATTTGATGATAGGCTTCTGTTGTATTCAATGTGAATCTGACCTTCCGTTTCCTGCCACACCTGCTTACGTTGTTGCCAGCATTGCCGCTCCTCCTGAAGCGACGTAGATTGCACCTGGCCAAATTACGTTTTGAGAATACTTATGCCATTGCCCGTGATATGATACGAGAAGATATTCATTCTTACCAAAAAAGACATACAAGACTTTCATTTTGCTGATACCATTGATAAGGCCATGGCATAAAGGTGTATAGTTCCACATTTTCTCATTATTCGTAAAGAAGTGTATGGACGACATTTCCAACAAAATACTCACATTCAGTTGTAAATAATTCCACCATCAACAATCTGTGTCTGCCCAGTAACGAAGTCGCTATCACTACTGCACAGGAAGCTCACCAGCTTCGCGACATCCCCCGGCACACTCACCCTCCCCAGCGCCGTCAGCTCCGAGACATACTTGTCCATCATCGCCCCCTTCTTGACCTCCTTGCCGCTCTTCTTCGCCAGGCCCTCGTCGATGAGCTCCCACATGCCCGTCCCCACGATGCCCGGCGCGTACGCGTTGACGGTGATGTTGTGCTCGGCCAGCTCCATCGCGTAGGCCTGCGTCAGCCCCCGCACCGCCCACTTCGACGCGCTGTAGTGTGAGAGCAGGGCGAAGGGCTTGAAGCCGACGATGGAGGACGCCCCGAGTAGCTTCCCTGGTGCGTCGGGCTTGCACGTCCCCTGGGAGATCATCTGCTTGGCTGCTTCGGCGTAGCAGTTCTGTACGCCGTGGACGTTGACGGCGAACATCCGTGAGAAGTCCTCCTCTGTGAGGTCTAGAAGGGCCTTGACTTGGGCTATGCCGGCGTTGGCGATCCTGAGCCCGAGCGTTAGTTGATATAAGTCCTAGGCGGTGTCTGGACTCAAGCCACTCACATTGTGTGTAAAGGACCTAGCTCCTTGACGCTCCTCTGGATCATGTCCTTGACATCCGACCTCTTCGTCACATCGCCGACGGCAGTGCATGCTTTCCCGCCCATGGACTCTATCTCCTTGACGACTTCGTCGCAGCCTTTCTCGAGGGAAGGGATGTCGTTGATACACACGTTGTACCCGTCAGAGGCGAGCCGGAGGGCGATTGACTTGCCAATGCCCCTGGCTGAACCTGTTACGATGACATTCTTGCCATCCACCTTCTTCCGGAGCAACTCGGCCGGTGCAGTTTTGCTGGCGAAGCCAAGGCGTGATGTCTGTCCCAGGAGCTGGGGTTTGATCGCCCTTGCGATCGGCGCTGATTTCTTGAGGGTATTCATGGTGCTGGCTGGTGATTAGTGACAGTGCGGTCAGTGTATATTGCGCCCGCCCTTGAAGCCGTGGATATCGGATTGCCAAAAGCGCATTTTATAGCAATTCGTTGCTCTCCCCCGCATCGCGGACGTGTCACCCTGTCCCCTCACCACTTCCATTTGCCAACGTCTCGTCGGGATACTTAGATAGGCCTTGTCATACGACGTAGGATCTCCCCCGCATGAACCTGCGGGGACGCTAACTGCATCCATGAACGCACGCGATGTTGTGGATCTTCTCCAGGTCTGGTATGCCAGATCCAGGTTTTTTTTGTGAATTTCCCAAGCTCTCGTTACCTGATCTATGAGCAGCAGCACGAATGACTAGTCACGTTCCTTGTTGTCATGGCTAGCCTGGCAGTCCCTGACGTGGGTACCTAGGCATCAAACGACTTCCTCGAAAGAATCACCTCGTTCAATCTTGAACATCAGGCCACAACAGTGCGGAAAACTTTTGTGGTAGTTCTCAAGTTTGATTGAATAACCTTGATTCGACAGAAGTTTACATCATAAGATGAGCATTTAACCTAAGAGAGTGCACTGCAGCCTTTGAAATTACCTAGGTACGTCAGTATAAGTGCATCTAAGGTAGAACGCAGAGCGTCCCCGTGAAGATTGCCACAATCTTGAACATCATCTAATTCTACGGATATAGCTACTGGGATATCGATGCCTGTATTGAAGGAAAGTACTATACAGATGCATGAGTTCTCAAAGCTGAGACACTGTCAAATCAAGCGCACCTTACAGGACTCCCAATCTCTGAGCATCTGCCTGTCGCTCCATTCGCTCCATTCGCTGCCTGACCTGTCAACCCAATCGACTACACCGCCTGCTCTGCTCGGGGTGTACCAGGCGACACCCAGCCTGCGAAAGCAGTCCATACTATTAAAGCTGCCAACTTTCTCTCCCAAAAGGGCGTGGTGGATGATGCCGGGAGGTTGGTGCTCTCCCGTGTCTTGGTTGACTGTTGCCACGTGTAGAAGATACAAACTGTCGTCAACATAGTGTATCCCAGTTTGTTCAGGGGACTGGTCAAATACTCCAAACCACGGTATCCCGTCATGACTCCGGTGCGTACTAATGCCGACCAATGTTCGGAAGTATTCCTCCTGAAAACCAGGATGAAACTGTCTGACTTTCCAGGATGGGTTAATACAGGCACGCTTGAGCGGACTTGTAGCGATAATCCACCCTGTCTGGACCAGAGAGCATGAACCAGGCGGATCAAATAAGCATCCGGCGTTATTGATCTCCATTTTCTTGACCACTTTGAATTCATAGCCGTCTGCGGGTCTGGCAAACAGTAGCCATTGTGGACGGAATAGACTAACCTGTCCATCTAAAGCAGCCCAGCTCCAAGATGGGGCCCTGTACGTGGTAGGTGATCGCATATGCTCGCAGCCAGAGCGTCTCCACAATAACCCTAATGGTACCTGCGATGTCGGATATGTTTGGCGGCTAAATGGATACATGCCCGTGTAGTGCCAAAGACCTGCGAGGTATTTCGCTCCCGGTGCGTTCACATGGCTGTGCTCCTTGAACTTAGTTGCGAGTCCTGCTATCGCCGGCATCTTGTCCATCTCGCGACTTAGTGTTCTGGACGTGAAGTCCTCCACCAGTCGAGCCCAGTGGGTGTCAAGATCACCTTGGCGGATTTTCGGGTCCAGCCGAGCCATTCTGGCGAATATGTGAAGCGCCAAACCATCCCTGACACTATCAGTATCATTGAGAGCGCCCGACGAGCTGGTATAGGCCGCACAACTCTCCCTATACCATGCCTGGTAGCAATCCCACACTCTTTCCCTTCCACAGTGAAGCACTCTAGGAGACAGGAGCCATTCTTGCAAAGTCCAGCCCCGGGTCATCCAAGGCGAGCCCGTCTTTCCGATCGAAGATGTGAAGGAAGTCAGGGCGTCTGGTCGAACGGTGACGGTTCCTTTCACTGTCTCCTCCTGACGGTGTTCCCATGATAAAATAGGCAGGCATTCGGCCTCTGATTTTGTGGGCTGAACCTCGCTGAAACTCTCGTCGCATTGTTTATTTTCCGGCGTTGTTATCGTCAGCGCCGATCGACCATAGATAGCAGCCATTTCGGCCGCTTCGTGATGCCAATCGTCCGAGTCATCTTGGATGATGCAGAGTGAGTCGACCCAAAGGTATGGGATATCCAACGATCGGCACATTCTGATAGCGTCCTGTATTGTTGCTGGCAATGTTGAGACTTGGATACCCATCAAGTGTTCCTGAAGTGTGGATTTGGTGGTCTTTCTCTGCGAACAAAGACCCCAGCAGTATGAGAGAGCAGCATAAGTCCCACTTTCGCCTCGTGTGTTTCGGAGCCTGACCGTATGAGGAGATGTATTGACAGAGGTATCGATGACACGACTGGGAAGAGGCTGTGGACCCCTCATTCCGCGGCATTTTGAATGCTTAGATAAACATGAATGACGCCAGTGACGTATAAGCTGCAAAAGGCCGTCTGCGAATATCGTTGGAGAGACTGTCCATTTGGTGGTTAGTCGCGCCAGCGGATCATCTGGTTGTTGGAAGAATTAGCAAGACGACTATCTTCTAAGAACGAAGTCTCACATACTAAGACAGGTTGCGAGCTCGAAGTACTGCCCTGTAATGAACGGTGTACGGACGTCCGGGTTATCAAAGGCACCAAAAGGGTCCACAACAAACGCACGCAAGTTGTTTGGGAGAAACCTGGCGGTGGGGTTGCCAATCAAAATCACTCTTCCATTCCCGCACAGATTTGGGAGAAGATGCAGCCCCAGAAAGCGTGCTTCTCTCCTGAGAAGGATTGGTTTGCAAGCTATCGACGGCGAGAGTTCATGGCCGTGCGTTTTGAAAAGCTGCTTCCTGTCGGCCACTTTCATCTTTGTCTTGACACTGAACGCACAGTCTTGAATAATGTCGCCACTGACTGTTGGAACGTGTCTGGCATCGTCGCTATTCACAATTGTAGAAAGGAGAAACTGGCACAATCGGCATCCTCGGAGAGCGCTGCTCTTGAGCGAGTGCAGGTCCCGGCGATGGATATAGATCCCCAGACCACCCGTGGAATCCATGCTGACGAACCAACGGGCATCGCTTGTCCCAATCTGGTCACATACTTTGCAGAGCCGCGATGTTTTCTTTCGTGGCGTGTCGTCGAGGAGTCGAACTGCGTGTTCGGCCATGCTTGTTTCTTGGCACTAGACTCCAGGGAAGGACGGGAAAGGAATGCGATAAGTAGATGTCAAAGAGAGCAGACTTTGGATTGCGTCGAAGGTCTTTCTTGGACTTCCTTGTTTATGAGCGGTTACGGTCAATGCTGGACCAGCTTCTCAACAGAGATAGTATCTACCACAGCAGGTGCGAAAACCAGGATGTGTCCCGCCACTTGTACGACCGTGAGAACGCCGTCGGTTCCGACAGCTAATGAAGCTGCCACTCTGCTGAGCCTCAAAGCGGGGGAGGAATTACTGCCAACCAAATTACGAGCTGCACCTCCCCCCATGCATGCGAGTGAGACAGGCTTCCACATGAGGCACTGGTCGACAACTAGGGATCGTCATCCCGCCACCTGGTCTGCATCACATCTCTAGACTGCGGCTCAGCAGTACTTGCACCTTCAAACCCAGAAATCAAAATTTATGGCATGCTAGCCAGTTAATACTGGACTGAAATAGGACGACCTAGAATCTGGATGCATGAGTGTTATCGCTAATATGCGACAAGATGAGAATTCTCGGCAGTTGTGAATTGTACATAGGGAGGAAACTTTCCAATTCCGAAATCTACATGACAGTCCAATGGCATGCAAACCAGCAGTTTATTATCCTCAGTCATAGCTTGCTATCCCTCCATACCGGCTTCCTCTTCTCCACGAAGCTCATGACGCCCTCTCTCATGTTATCCGCAGCGTCTATCCGGCCAAACATACCCCGTTCCAAGAGTTCCGTCCCCATCTCCGGGCCAACTTCCCAGCCCAACTTCAGTCCCTCGCGGCTCACAATCACCGAGTCAGGGCTGTTGTCAGCAATCTCCTCGGCGATCTTGACCGCCTCCTTGACCACATCGTCCTGCTTGACGACCTTGTTCACTACGCCCCACTCGTACATCCTCTGCGCCGAGTACATCCCCCCAACAAGCGCCATCTCAGCAGCCCGCTGCTTCCCGAGCGTCTTCTGGATCCGGGGCAGCGCGCCAGCCAGCGCGACCACGCCCCGCTTGACTTCGGGCAGCCCAAACTTGGCGTCCTCGCTCGCAACTATCAGGTCACAGTTCACGGCGATCTCCATGCCGCCGCCGAGACACAGGCCATTCACGGCCGCGATGACGGGCTTCTTGCCCGTGCGGTTGCTCAGCCCGCCGAAGCCCGAAGAGGTCCACCTGTCCTTGGCCCGCCCGGAAGTCTCGGGCTGCTCGGCGGCTTGCTGACCACTGGCGGCGGCGGCGGCGGCGGCATTGCGGCCGTTCCACTCCTTGAGGTCCGCGCCGGCACAGAACGCCCGCCCCGTGCCGGTCAGGATGGCGCAGCGGAGGGTGGGCTGGAAGTCGTACCAGCGCCAGAGGGCGTCGAAGAGGCTGTGGTTGGTGGAGGGGATGGCGTTGAGGGCCTTGGGGCGGTTCAGGGTCACGAGGAGCACGTGGGGTGCTGGGAAGGAGGTGACTGCGTCCGGGACGGACGGGGGAGGTGAGGTTAGGCCTTTGGGGAGGGCTGACATGGCTGCTGTGAGGTTGACACCGACGTGATCAGGGCCCTCGGCTGGTCATTGACTGGAGTATGTCTTGGATGGAGAACTTCGGCCTGCTGACAACAGCGATCAATTTTTTGTTTGTGATTGTATGGCTTAGACTCAGGGCTCAATGTTGAAGTCTGAGACCAAACGGTCAAGTAAAAAGTTGGTCGAATGTCAAACAGATTTGGATGCAGTGGGCTGTCTACTCAGAACCAAGAGAGTGTGGAGTACGAATTGGGTGAGATGAGATGCCTCGGCTTGTCGGCGCCGTGGGATGCGGAGAACCCCTGTTCAGATGAGTAATCAGTAGTCTCCTTTTCTAACGTCTACTGCCGGAGACAGAACAATTTCAAGACAGTCTTGGCTTGCGGATCTTGGCTACGTTTTCTCTTTGTCCACAAACAGACCTGGAAGCCTCACGGGCAACAGCCATGACTTCCTTCGAGTCCTATATGCTTGAAGCTGTCTTATGCAAGGCTCGTCCCCTGGCGGGACACAGGAGCCCTCGCTAAATGGAGATAACACCGACAGCCGACAACTTCTTAAAAACCTGCTGTTGCAACAGCTGCCACGCAAGCTACGGGTTACCAAGCCTTCAGAAGGAGAATTCAAGTTGAAAACATGTGAGAGAACGACTGGGTTCCAAGTTAATATGACCAATTATATGAGTAATTATGGACCATTTCGGTCTAAAATTGTGACTAGCTAGGGAACGTTTTTGAACACACGTGGCTGTCGAATGCACCAATGTTGGGCCTCAGAGATAGATACAATTTGGATGACTTTATTGGGTGATCATGATGGTCAAAGAATTACTGCTGGAGGTGAATGTGGAATCTTTCTGTGTTGACCTTGGAAGTGTGTGGTTGGAACCAACATCGTTTATTGACCAAATTGATCAACCCTAGGTGCCACGCCAGATAGTACCCTGCAAAGTGGCCCATATACTCGTGCATCCGTGTCACCCTCTAGGGAGTACCATAAAGCTTTGCCATGTCAACCTTGGATTCAACTTAGTGTGTATGTTCACCTTTTCGCCGCTAGATAACCATCACTCTCGTAAGTGTAACCATCTTCAGTTTTTCAGCTTCTTCACAACCGCCGGATGACTAATTCCAGTTTGTGAATGAGTGCTGACAGGACGCCCATCAACATGCATTTCCTCGATACCCCACTCTTTCCCGTAAGACAAAGTGGCAGTTGCATGAACCATCAGCCAATAGGATACATGCACATGCTCGAGCTAAGGCCACCTAATACTTTTTGTCGAGGCTGTGCCTGATCAGCGTTGTGGGAGAATGTATATGGGGATTTGTTCAACCCCATAGACCGAGATTTGGGTTCTACTTCCTTCTTTCTTCCCGCCATGATGAAATAACACCTAACAATCGAAATACCATTGAGGACGCGAATATGTCAGTGTGGCATTCAATTATCCGCCATTATATACATGTGGCGAACTCTTACAATTGTTTCGAAAGCCCGGCCACTGACCCCACTCGACCAACGTGAAGGCATATTTCCGCATCATGGCTCAGTCCTACAAGTACAACCGCATCGACCTGGCTACAGATGCCATCAGACTTGTCCGACTACTCAGCGGAGACGAGGGCCAGCCAATCCAATGTGAAATCTTCGAGACTTACCTGCACCAAGTCGAGGGGGTCCCCTACGAAGCATTATCATATGTTTGGGGAAACAGGCAATCAGCGGACGTGATCTGTCTAGACGGGTGCCCGTTTGAAGTGACAGAGAATCTTTACGAAGCTCTTATACACTTGCGACAGCCGGATGAGGACCGGGTCTTGTGGATCGATGCAATTTGTATCGACCAAAGTCATAACGCAGTAAGTGAATATAGAGAGATTAAGGGATAATGGGGAAGCGTCATGCCTAATTACGTTCGAAATGTCATAGTCCTAATTTGAACTCTTTGTCCTCAAGTCTCCAGCATTCTCGTGCTGGACTCTGTCTACGCTGGTTAGATAAAGCTGACTTACAGGGCTGTATAGGAACGAGGCCATCAGGTCGGTCAGATGCGGCTCATATATCAGAATGCTCAAACGGTCATCATCTGGTTAGGGGCTAGCAGCCGCAATATCGACTGCCTTTTCGACTGGATGGTCGCTCTCGACAAGCAAGTACTCGCGGTAGCGCGTCCGCATACACTAAGCACCTGGGAGAACCAGTGGTCGTGGCTTGTCTGGCACATGCGTGGCCAACCTCCGCCTGATGAAATCAGGGAAGCGCTAAGCGGCTTGCTGCAACAAGAATGGTTTTCTAGGATATGGGTGCTCCAGGAGGCAGCACTTGCAAAGTCTGCCATGATAGCTTGCGGTCGACGAGAAGTCAATTCTCGCACCTTTGTTGTAATGCCTTCTTCTCAACATCGACTGCCTCGAAGGTGTACAGTCCCGCTTGGATATCTTACCCGGGTTGTTGCGCGCGAACTCGTGGTGGGCCGGAGGCTCTAGCAAGGACCTTTTCACCCTCCTCCAGAAGTTCGGACGAAGTAAGGCCAGCGACCACCGCGATGTCATCTACGCACTTCTTGGGCTCTCTGCAGACGCGCAGTCGTCCCAGATTTTGCGGCCTAATTACGAAATGAGCCTACAAGAGACAATTCAGCAGTCTATGGCATATTTCATGATGAAGACGCACGACCTACCGAACCACGCCGCTATCCAATTATTGCCAAAATGGAGCCTGAACGTGTTCCTGGACTCTCTATCAGATTTACCTCTTCACATATTCCGATGGGCCACAGATAATGCACAGGATGTACTTCTTTACAACATCCTCTTGTCCAGGAGGGAAAAGAACGGTGCTCTGGATATACAGCCATACGTGACTCCTGAAGGCCACCATGGCCCACCCATATCGATCGCAATGAAGAAGGAGAACTCAGCTTTAATCGAGCTGCTATTACAATTTCCGGATACAGATATCGAGACGAAAGACTTGGACGGCAATACTCCACTGTCGATTGCGGTGGGGCAGGGAAACATGGTCGTTGCGAATTCAATCCTGGAACGCAGGCAACATAACATTCCTACGAGAGATTCTCGTGGCAATACGCCAATGCTAGTCGCCGCCGAGCAAGGCGCCTCAGTTTTTAAAGCATTGCTACTCAAGCACCCGGAGCTTGACATCTATTCGAAAGACTTCGACGGTGACACGCAACTGTTGACCGCAATCAAACATGGAGACTCGACTTCCGTAAAGCAGATTCTGAATCTTGGCGAGGCTGAGATGCAGATTAAGAATCTTCGCGAGGCTGAGATACATATTGCCGACTCGAACGGCGACGGGCCGTTGAACATTGCAGCACGAAGAGGAGACGAGGATATTGTGGATCTGCTCCTAGAAAGAATCAATCTGACGCACATTACTTTCAGAGGTTCAGACGGGCTGACACCACTTGAATCAGCATTCGCCGGTGGTTTCTCAGGGATCATCAAGAAGCTCTTGGAGTATCCCCGAGTACACCCGGTCCGCACAGCTGCGAAGGCAAATCAATTCGAGTTCCTGCGCATGATTCTGGACGTGAAACCGCTCTTAGCAGACGCTGATTTGTTTCAATCTCGAACGCCGCTTGGGGTGGCCGCAGAGGCTGGAAGTACGAGGTGTGCGAGACTGCTCCTGGACAGGGGCGCCAGAATCAATGCAGGATACTGTGATGAGCAACCTGCCGCACCTCTCTGGATTGCCGCATCACATGGTCACTTGGACACAGTTAGTCTCTTGGTCGAGAGGGGGGCAAGCCTTGAATCGACGGCTATGGAACATTCTTTCAAAACAACAGCACTCTGGATTGCAGCACTCAAGGGCCATTTTTGTGGAAGGCTACAAGTGTCGTGAGGGGTTTGAAAGCATGATTGTAAAAGCATCTATTTCCTAAGAGTAGTTTAAAAGGAGGAAATAAAAGAAATTTAGCTATTTAAATATTTTAAGAAGTAATTATAAATTAGGGTTAAGGATATGTATATAATATACTTTTTAATTAAAAGTTAGTTCTTACTTTATTAATTACCTTATTTTTTTAAGCAGCTAATTTATACTTAAAAATATTAATTGCAATTCATTAAGCAGTTAATTATTTAACCTTTTTTATAATATATATACTTTATTATTTAAACTTTAACTGCTTATAGCTTTATAACATAACTTATAATTAATAATTAAATCTTTTTTTTAAACTTTTTAATTAAATTTATATTTAAAAATACTTACTTTTATTAATTTTAAATACCTTTTTAATTATATTAAAAATAGCTAAAAGCAATAAAAAATAAGCTTTTAAGCCTTAAATTATTTCATTTTTTTATACCCTTAAGGTTTAAAAAAAGAAACGTAAATATATTTAAATTAATAAAAAGCTTGCTAATAAGGATAATAAAAGCTTTAATACTTTTATTAAAATGCTATTAAATAATATGCTTAAAAGTAAGTTTCTTAATTAATTTAAAAATTAATTTTAAAGCATATATTAATTCCTAATATAGCTTTAAAAAACCTTTAAATATATATAAATAGCTTAAAGCTTAAAATAAAACTTCTTTTTAAAAAAAAAGCTAAAATAAAGTATAAAAAGATAAAGAAAAATATAAAAAAGCTTAAGAAAATTAATAAGCATTGCATTCCTTATCTCCCTTATATTAAAAGTTTTACGTATAATTATAATAATAATTCTTATATAAATTATAATAATAAAAGTAATTATTATTATTATTATACTTAAGGTAATTTTTATAAGCCGCTTTTAATAGCCTTTTTACTATTTATACTTTATCTTTATTATACTTAGTTTAGCAATTCCTTAACGCTTAAAAAGTCCTGGTATGCTTAAAAGAAAGCTTTAAATATATATAAGCATAAGAAGTTTAATTCCTTTTATATTAATTATATTTTTATAATTCCTTTTAATATTTAAAAGCTTTCTATTTTATAGTAATAACTTATAAAAGCTATAAAAAATAAATATAAAAATATAATAAAGCACTGTTGACGGGTGCAGGGAATTACGTGAGAAATGATACTGCGCTGAATTCCGGCTGGCTATAAAAAGCTAGCTTTTATGCTTATTCTAAACATTCTTTTAAGAAATCAACTCTTCTCTTTTCTTATATATTTAGTGCTTTAATTAAGCTTTTTTTATTTTTAAGAATTTTTAAAATATTTATCTTTTCCCTTTCTTTAATTCCCTTTTATTCTTATTTTTTTTTTTTATTATATTAAAGTTCCTTCTTAAGTTATTCTTAAAAGAGTTTAGCAAAACCTATTTCTTATTATTTAAATAGCTTATTTTTATTAATAATTTAACTTAAGTAATAATTTTAATTTTATATATTTTTAATTAATAATAAAAAGAATAAAAAGTTAGCTATAAGTTAATTATTTATTAATTTTATCTTTTCTTTTATTTTTATATTAAATATTACTAAATTATTTTATATATTAGCTTAAAGCTTTAATTAAAGCTTGCATTTATCTTTAATTTATTATAAAAAAAAGTTAAGTATAATTAAATTTATAATAATATTATAAATACCTTAAAATTATTTTCCAATCTTAAGATATCTTTTATACTTTTAATATTTAAATAAAATATTATCTTAATTATATATTAATATATTATTAAGCTTTAAATTTATTTTAAGTTTTTTATTAAAAATTATGCTTAAAATATAATAATAATATAAACTTAAAATTAAAATAATAAATTTAAACTTTATAAATATTATTTTATATTAATTAAAAATACTTTAAACTCTTAATTAATATTTATTATTATTATTATAACCTTAAGTTTAAAGTAAAAAGGGCTATAATATAAAATTAAAATGCTTACTTTATTTATTTATAAATTTAATAAATAGCATTATATTATGTATTCTTATATTAATTAAATTATATAAAAAACTTAAACTTAAAGTATAACTTTATTTAAATTTTAATTAAACTTAAATTTAATTTATTAAGAGTTTAATATAATATTAATAAGTAAGGCATTAAATATAAATTTAAGGAGCTTTTTTTATTATAGCCTTATAATTTTTATTTTTTAATAAAATATCTTTTTATTAAGTTTATTTTATTTATTATATTTATTAATACCTTTATTTTTTAAACTTTAATTTAAATATTTTATAATAATATTAAAAATAAATTCTTTAAAAATAATTACTTTAATTAAAAATATTATTACTTTTAAGTTTTTTTATTTTATTATTATTTTAATAAGAATTATTATAATATATATATTATATTTTTAAGCTTAAAATCTTCTTAAATTTATTTTTATTTTAAAAGTACCTTAAAACTTTAAAAACTATTTTTTTTTTTATTTAAAGCTAAGAAAGAAATCTTAAGAAACTTATTAAAGAAAAAAGGAAATTTAATTTTACTTATTATTAATTAAAATATTAACCTTGCTTTAATTAAACCTTATAATTTATTATTAATAATAAATTAAAAACTTAAATTAATATTTTAAAAGTTTTACTTTTTATTAATATAATAATTTTATTATAAATAATTTTATTTATAATTTATAATTTAAATACTTTAAAGTTTAATAAAATTAATATTATTAAGATTTTAAATAATCTTAAGATTATTATTTATTAATTCTTTTATTTAAATAATTAAATTTTAAAATTATTTAAATAACGCTATATTATTTTAAATTTAATAAAAATAATTAAAAGCATTATTATTAAATAATTTATTTAAAAAAATTAAAAAAAAAAGCTTTTTACCTTTTATAAATTTAATAATTAAATTTATTATATAAACTTAATTATAATTATTAAAAACATTATTTATAATAACCCTTATAATAATTTAAAAGCATAAAAAGGAAAAATTATAAAATATAATTAAAAACTTAATAATATAAATAATATTTCTTTTATTATAACTTAGCTCTTTTATAAAATGCTTTTATTATATTTAAAAAAGTAGCTAATAAAAAAAGGAATTATTTATAAGTTAATAAGAAATATTTTTTAATTAAACTTTAAATATACTTTATTAAAAGTTATTAATTAAAAACTTAAATATTTTAAATAAAATAATTTTAATTAAAATTTACTTAATTTAAAAAGGTTAAATTTCTTTTAAAAAAGCTAAAATAATTTTAATTTTTTAAATTACCTTTAAAATAAAAACTTATAAGCTTAATAATTTTTATTTAAATTTAATTATATTAATATTATTAAAAAATATAATTAAAATTTATAAAATATAAATAAATTTATTAAAAAATTTATAAAGTTAAAATTTAATTTAATTAAGTTTAAAAATAAATTTAAATTATTTTAATAAAATATTAAAGCTCTTTTTTATAATAAATAATAAAGCAATTTTAAAATAATTAAGTTAAAAGCTATAAATTTTATTTAATAACTTTTAATAAAATTTAATTAAAATAATTTTAATAATAATAAGGTATAAATTATAATTTTAATACTTTTCTTTAAAAAAAATAAGTTACTTAAAGTTTGTTATAATTATACTTTTTAAAATTATAATATATATTAATATAATAAACTTAAGCAACTTTTTTTAAATAATTTATTAATAGCTTTTAAGTTAAAAAAATTATTAATATTCCTTAACTTATTTAAAAATACTTAAGCTAGCCTTTTAAAATATTTAAACCTTACTTATATTTAATTATATTATAATTAAAATAGCTATAATTTAAAAAAAAATATTTATAGCTAATTAAAATTTTTATTTAAAAAAAAAGGTTTAATTTATTTTATATAATTAAATATTATAAACTTATTAAAATAAATTCTTTATTTAAAAAAAAAGCTTTATTAAAAGCCTTAAAAGTAATTTAAAAGCTTAATAATTAAAAGAAAGTTAACTTAATTTTAATATTTATAAATTTTATAAATTATATAATTTATATTAAAAAAAAGCTTATAATTATAAATAATAATAAGCTTTTTTAAATAAATATTATTATAATTAAAAAAAAATATATAATTAAAAATATTAAAAATTAAAATAAAGTTATAAAAATTATAAAAGTTAATTATATTTAACTTAAAAACTTTAAAAAGGTAAAAAATAATTAATTTTAAATTATTAATAATAAATTATAACTAAAAAATAAAAAAAAGATAAGGAAAAGAAAAAACTTATTTATTAATTAAAATTAAACTTAAAAAAAAAACATTAAGTTTTTTATAATAAAAGCAAGCTTAATAAATATAATAAATTTAAAATTAAAGAAATATATTTAATAACCCTTATTACTTAAGAAAAAAGTAGCTTAAGTAATTTTAATTATAATTATTAAAATAAATATTATAAATATCTTAATGCTTAGCAATATTATTTTAACCTTAATTAAGCACTTATTAATAATATAATTTAAAATATATATTTTATTAAAGATATTTTTTAAGTTAATATATTTTAAAAATTATATTAAAAACTTATTTCTTAAAGTTAATATAATTACTTTTTTAAAATATAATATTAAAATTAATACTTTAATTAATTTATTATAAATTATTTAATATTAAATTAATTTTATTATTATATTTATTATAAATATAATTAATTAAAGATATTTTAATTTAGCTTATTTAATAATTTATATAAAAGTAAATAATTACTCTTTATAACTTATTTTTTTAAATATTAAAGTTAAAATAAATTTCTTACCCTTATTATATTATAAATATAATAAACTTTTATATATTTTACTTAATAATATAAACTTAATAATATATAATAAAGATTTTTTATCTTTAATTAAAGTTATAAAAAAGTAAATTTATATTAATTTAAATAAAATTAAAATTATATTCTTTATTATTAATAATAAAGCTCTTAATACTTTATATTATATTTTTTTAAAAATACTTTTTTTCTTAAATATAAACTTA